TCATGCTTCTAATCACAGCACTTTAGGAAGCTAAGGTGGGAGTGCAACAGGAGAGTTCCTTGGCTCCCCTTGCAGGACTTGCAATGGGATATGGCTCTCTGTTCAGCTGCCACAAGCTCAAACCCTTAACAAGCTGGGGAGCACACAGACAGGCAGGTGCAGAAACCAGAGTGAGTACTTTTGGGGTCCAGCCCCACAGGCAGCTTCTAGGGGTGGGTGCTTCAACTCCTGAAGCCCCAGTGGGTGCGCTGCAGTGCTCTTTTAGCTCTGCCATTCACAGAGGGCTTAAGTGTTAACCAGCTCAGCGCCCCCTTGGTACCTGGGCCCTTGTCTGGTGCCCAGGAAGAATCAGGTTGCACACAGACTTGAAGAGTGGTGAATGTGGGGGTGTTATTGAGTGCTGGCTCTCAGTGGGATGGATGGGGAGCCGGAAAGGGGATGGAGTGAGAAGATGATCTTCCCTTGGACTTCACCAGTCCTGTGGACAAACTCCTCTCCAACTGTCCAAGTCAGACTCCTTTAGATGTTCAGATGCCCCTTCTCTTCTCGCTTTCTCAGCTGTGCTGTTCTGCTCTTTGGCTCTTCTGCGCATCTCCTCATGGACCGAGGGGTTCGGGGTTTATATAGGTATAGGAAGTAGGGTGTGGTGGACCAAGATGCAACATTTGGGCATGAAAACAGGAATGCCTGTTCCCATTTAGTGCCTTGGGTTTTCAGGCTTGAGGGTAGGGCTTTTGCCAGGGAAATGCGCAGTATTTCCCTGTCTCCTGTTCATATCAGGAAGATTGCTTGGGTCTATGAGTTTGAGACCAGCTTGGGCAACATAATGAGACCTCTGCCTCTACAAAAAATAAAAATATTAGCTGAGAGTGGTGATGTGTGCCTGTAGTCCCAACTGCTTAAGAGGCAGAGGTGAAAGGATCACTCGAGCCTGGGAGGTTGAGACTGCAGTGAGCTGTGGTCATGCCACTGCACTCCACCCTGGGTGACAGAGTGAGATCCTGTCTCAAAAAAAGAAAAAAATCCATCAGGAGGTAGATTTCATGTGTTCTTAACACAATAAGATAAATTTTAAAACAAGAATCAATGATTTTTTTAATTAAAAAGTTAAAATTTATTTATTCATTATTATTTTTTGAGACAGAGTCTCACTCAGATGCCCAGGCTGGAGTGCAGTGGCATGTTCTCAGCTCACTGCAAACTCTGTCTCCCCAGTAGCTAGGATTACAGGCACACACCACCATGCCCTGCTAACTTTTTGTAGAGATGCGGTTTCGCCATGTTGGCCTGGCTGGTCTTGAACTCCTGACCTCAAGTGATCTGCCCGCATTGGCCTTTCAAAGTGCTGAGATTACAGGCATGAGCCACCTCGCCTGGTCAAAAAAAAAAAAAATTTAATTAATTTAAAAAAATTTTGGCTGGACGTGGCAGCTCATACCTGTAATCCCAGCACTTTGGGAGGCAGAGACAGGTAGATTGCAAGAGCTCAATAGTTTGAGACCAGCCTAGGCAACATAGCAAAACCCCATCTCTACAAAAAAACAAAACTTAGCTGGGTGTGGTGGCACATGCCTATGGTCCCAGCTATTTGGGAGGCTGAGGCAAGAAGATTGCCTGAGTCTGGGAAGGTTGAGGTGGCAGTGAGCTGTGATTGTGCCACTGCACACCAGCCGGGGCAACAGAGTAAGCCCCTTCCTCAAAAGAAAAAAAAAATTAATTAAAATGGCTTGGCCCACAGAGCTTACGTGGGAGATGGAGACATGATTTTCAAAATACTCTTTTTAAAAAGTACACAAGTGGGCTGGGTGCAGTGGCTTATGCCTGTAATCACAGCACTTTGGGAGGCAGGCAGCTCACCTGAGGTCAGGAGTTCGAGACCAGCGTGGACAACATGGTGAAACCCTATCTAATAAAAATACAACTTGGCTGGGGGTGGTGGTGGGTGCCTATAATCCCAGCTACTCGAGAGGCTGAGGCAGGAGAATTGCTTGAACCTGGGAGGCAGAGGTTACAGTAAGCCAAGATGACGCCATTGCACTTCAGCCTGGGCAGCAAGAGCAAAAATCCATCTTGAAGAAAAAAAAAAGTACACAAATGACAGATTTTTACTATAAAAATAAATCAAGTAGCACAGAGTGTGATCTGCCTCTCTCCCCTCCTTGTAGATGGCACTCTCCCCATGAGTACCCCTAGCGATAACTGCTGTCTGTACTCATTATGACTTTTTAAAATGCATAGACGTTCTAAAATGTAGATTCTATATTTATTCAGGTATGATGAAGCCAACAGATCAGGGGACAATAGCCATTTAAAAGATCGTTTGTTACTCTTGTTCCCAAGAGGAGGGGTCACACTGCACAGCCTCCGGAGAGAATGCGAGGTTGGTCACAGGCAGAAGACAGGGGAAGTGAGGTTTTCGAGGAAGGAATGGGTGAGGCAGGTAATTTGGCTAAGCAGGTGAAGAACTAGCTAGCTGGAATAATGTCAGCTGATTCTCCTGAGTGTAGACTGCCCCAAGTTGTCTGATACATGACCTCAGGGTGATTAGGGTAGGGAGATAGTGGTCTTGAGTGTAAAAGTTCAAAAAAGGAGGGATTCAGTGGTAGGGCTCTAGACTGGTTAGTTTGCATCTCGGGGAATCAGCTAGTCCTGGGAGGCGTAGTCCCTCCCTGGTTAGCAAGGCCCCAAAATGTTGAAGCAGCAATATGGAAACTAAAAATGCAGGTAATGCCAAATTTAAAAAATCTCTTAGGTTATTTTTCAATTTTTCCTGATCACAAATTATATGATAATGAAAATCCTTATATAGATTTTTTTGCATGAGTGTATAATTCTGTATGATACTTAAAAGTATAATTTCTGGATGAAAGGGTTTACATATTTTAGATACGTAATTTAATAAATTACAATTAAAATTTAATTTAATTCCAAAAAAGTGAAACGTTTTAATGATCCCACCAATAGTGTATGTAGAGGGTCCCTTTTCTTAGACTCTCAGTAATAGTAATACAGGATTTTATCAGTCTTTTAGTCAATTTGGAGAAAGAATATTAGCAGTCAACCGCTAACAAAAAGTAAGCTAATGTGAAAATGTTAATATCAGACAAAAGAGAATCCAATGCAAAAAGAATTTTAAAAGGCAGTGTGATGTTTAGTTTTTTTGGTTTTTTTTTTTTTGGTTTTTTTTTTTTTTGAGACAGTCTTGCTCTGTCGCCCAGGCTGGAGTGCAATGGTGAAGTCAAAACTCACTGCAACTTCTGCCTCCCAAGTTCAAGTGATTCTCCTGCCTCAGCCTCCCGAGTAGCTGGGATTACAGGTGCCTGCCACCACGCCGGGCTAATTTTTGATTTTTAGTAGAGACAGGGTTTCACCATGTTGGCCAGGCTGGTCTCGAACACCTGACCTCATGATCTACCTGCCTCAGCCTCCCAAAGTGTTGGGATTACAGGTGAGCCACCACACCTGGCCCGATATTTAATTTTTATGACACCCTCTACCAAGACAGTTAAATGACAATAAGCCTTCATGTGTAATTACATAGTTGCCAATGGCAATTTCATATGGTTTAAATTTAATATCTAATTATATAGCTTCAAAATGTGTAATGCAAAGACTCAAATACAAGGAGACATTGCTAAATTTGTACTTGTCATAGAAATCTTCAAAATACCTCTTTCAAAGATGGGCAGATTAAGAAGAACAAATAAAGATACAGAGGATTTGAGTTAACATAACACATTTAGGCCGGGTGTGGAGGCTCACACCTGTAATCCCAGCACTTTGGGAGGCTGAAGGTGGCGGATCATGAGTCCAGGAGTTTGAGACAAGCCTGGCCAACATGGAGAAACCATGTCTCTACTAAAAATATAAAAATTAGCCTGGCATGTTGGCGGGGTGCCTGTAACACCAGCTACTCAGGAGGCTGAGGTCTGAGAATTGCTTGAACCAGGGTGGCAGAAGTTACAGTGAGCTGAGATTGTGCCACTACACTCTAGTCTGGGTGATAGAGTGAGACTGTCTCAAACTAATGATAATAATAATAATTAGCAAACTTGACTTACTAGATATAGATAAGTAAACAGAGTATCACTTTCTTTGTGAATTTCCATGGTGTATTTAGTACCTACAAGAACACACACATGAGCATCTTAGAGTAACTGAAAAAGTAAGTTGTCCAAGAACAGTGACTAACTGCAGTTCAGGTTATATCCTGAGGAAAATGTCCATAGAAATGGAGGGATATTTCTTTTGTTTTTATTTTTATTGTACTTTAGGTTCTGGGGTACACGTGCAGATTATGCAGGATTGTTGCATAGGTACACACATGGCAATATGGTTTGCTGCCTCCATCTCCCCATCACCTACATCTGGCATTTCTCCCCATGTTATCCCTCCCCGACCTCCCCACCCCCCCACCGCTGTTCCTCCCTTGCCCCCTCCCAACAGACCCAAGTGTGTGATGCTCCCCTCCCTGTGTCCATGTGTTCTCGTTGTTCAACACCTGCCTATGAGTGAGAATATGCAGTGTTTGATTTTCTGTTTTTGTGTCAGTTTGTTGAGAATGGTGGTTTCCAGATTCATCCATGTCTCTACAAAGGACTTGAACTCATCGTTTTTTTATGTCTGCATAGTATTCCATGATATTTATGTGCCATATTTTCCTTGTCCAGTCTATGGTTGATGAGCATTTCGGTTGGTTCCAGGTCTTTGCTATTGTAAACAGTGCCGAAATGAACATACATGTGCATGCTTCTTTATAACAGAATGATTTATAATCCTTTGGATATATACCCAGCTGGGTATATATACCATTTGCTGGGTCAAATGGAATTTCCATTTCTAGGTCCTTGAGGAAGCACCATACTGTCTTCCACAATGGTTGAACTGGTTTTCACTCCTCCCAACAATGTAAAAGTGTTCCTATTTCTCCACATCCTCTCCAGCATCTGTTGTCTCCAGATTTTTTTAATGATCGCCATTCTAATTGGCATGAGGTGCTATCTCAATGTGGTTTTGATTTGCATTTCTCTAATAATCAGTGATGATCAGCATTTTTTCATATGTTTGTTGGCCACAGCAAAGAATACCTCCTGTGAGGCTTCTGCCAAGGACCCCCTTGGACTCCAGAGCCCCTAGGCCCCTGTGTCTTGTCAGCACTCTGCTATTTCAGGGCTAAGGAGCTCAGTCTTTCTCAGATGTGGCTTGGGAAACACAGCCTTCTAATCCAGGAGAGTAAGAAGATTTAGGACTGACGTGGGTGCAGTTAGAGAAACCCCATCTCCTTGGGTATATGGGGGACACCCCAACTATGCAATCTCCCCCTTCAAATCCTCCTTGGGGGCCTGATCTGACTGACGTCAGGGGGTGCCTACTGCTTTGAGGCAGGAAGCCTGAACTTTCCTCCCTGTCACTGTGAATGCTCGGCCAGGGCTGTGGATGTCCTCATTGCTTTTCAGGAAGAAGACATGCCAGACTAGAGCTGCACCTTCTTTATTGACTCTGTAGGTCTGGAACAAATCAGATCAGCCTGGGGTCCCTCAGCCAACTCTGAAGACTGGATGGAGATCTCTCCCTCATGTTAGAGATTTCTGCCTTGTTGTATCTCAATGTAAATTAAAAAACCAGAAAAGAAGGTAAGAACTTTCTTTCTAGCCTAAACTAGAAATGAGTGAGACCAGGAGGGCGATAAACTTACGTTTTTACCTAGGAAATAAATACGGAATTGTTTTGGTGACAAAGGTCAGAGACAGCTCTTCTGCTATCAACTCATCCAGATGGGGTCTTTGCTATCTGTGTGATGAGATCTTCAAGCGTTGGGTGACCATTCTGCCCTTGATATCTTGGGCTTACTTAGTGGACAAATAAACTTTTTTTTTTTTTTTTGAGACGGAGTTTCACTCTTGTTACCCAGGCTGGAGTGCAATGGCGCGATCTCGGCTCACTGCAACCTCCGCCTCCTGAGTTCACGCAATTCTCCTGCCTCAGCCTCCTGAGTAGCTGGGATTACAGGCATGCACCACCATGCCCAGCTAATTTTTTGTATTTTTAGTAGAGATGGGGTTTCACCATGTTGACCAGGAGGGTCTCGATCTCTTGACCATGTGATCCACCCTCCTCGGCCTCCCAAAGTGCTGGGATTATAGGCGTGAGCCACCGTGCCCGACTGATAAACTTATTTTTTAAGAGACAGAGTCTCACTACATTGCCCAGGCTGGAGTGCAGTGTCTGTTCATAAGTGCAATCATAGCACACTATAGCCTCGAGCTCCTGGCTCAGGAAATCCTCTGACCTTAGCCTCCTGAATACCTGGGACCACAGGCAAGCTGCTCCACCATGCCCAGCTAATTTTTCTTCATGATAATATAAGGCATTGATGATTCTAATTAAATTCTAGAAAGAGAAGGGGGTCTCACCTACATTGGGTAGATGTGGTCACCTGGAGAGATGGTTCAGCTTGAGAAATCACCGGGGGAGAAGACAGCTGATCATTATTACGGTGCTGATTCAACAGACTGAGGCTCCCTCAAGCTCATTTTCCAAGGCTGACCTTATGAAGTTTTCACGTTTTTAGTTTTTCCCTTGAGAATTATTCTACTTCCCCTTTGTATTCATTTTTTCTTTCTTTCTTTCTTTTTCTTTTTCTTTCTTTTTTTTTTTTTGTTCATTTTTTTGAGATAGAGTCTGGCCCTGTCACCCAGACTGGAGTACAGTGGTGTGATCTCAGCTCACTACAACTTCCACCTCCCCCATTCAAGTGATTCTCCTGCCTCAGGCTCCCAAGTAGCTGAGACTACAGGCACACACCACCACACCCAGCTAATTTTTGTATTTTTAGTAGAGATGGAGTTTCACCATGTTGGCCAGGCTGGTCTCAAACTCCTGAACTCAGGTGATCTGCCAGCACTGGCCTCCCAAAGTGTTGGGATTGTAGGCATGAGCCACTGCACCTGGCCATTTTTCTTAGTGATTTCTAAAATGTTCTCTGCTTGTCCGTAGATGACTTTATCTTCTCTTAAATAGCCATATGTGATACCTACTTAGAGCCACTTTCTAATTTTTCTGATGTGTAAAAATTTTAGAAAAATATCATTTATTGATTTTTAATTATAAAAGCTATAATAGAAGTATATAAGTTAAAAATGGAACTCTCTCACCCAACCTCATTCTCCAGAGGTAATTACTGTTAATAGCTTGATATATAGTCTTTTATTTTGTATACCTTATTGGCTTTTTAATACCGATATCACATTAGGCATACTCTTCTGCAATTTGCTTTTCTTCATGTAACAATGTATCTTAGGGCCGTTTACATATCGACTTGCCTTGTTCTTTGTCATGGTAGAATACAATTTCATTGTTTTTAAAGCATCGTGATGTATTTTGTTGTTTCTTTACTGATAATTACTTAAGATGCTTTTTGTAGTCCCAGCTACTTGGGAGGCTGAGGCAGGAGAATTGCTTGAACCTAGGAGGCGGAGGTTGTAGTGAGCTGAGGTCACGCCACTGCACTCCAGCCTGGTGCCCGGTGACGAAGCGAGATTCTGTCTCAAAAAAAAAAAAAGATGCTTTTATTTGGGGAGGAGAAGAACTTTAAGAGATCTTCAAGGATGTCATTTAAGAAAATTCCTTATGTTTTTCATGACAATGAAAAATGTTTTCAAAGTGCTACTCATATATAACCTCACTTTACCCTCCTAACAACCCTGTAATGAAGTTACCATTATCTATAAATAACAGAGAAACAGATGAGGCCATGGAGCCCCAAGGCAGGGATCACATGCACCTTTGCTGTTATAATGATGGCTGGGCACCCTTTCCCCCTTCCGCATGACGTAGGAAAACGTATCCTTTTTGTCCTTGGTGACAAAAGGTCACCAAGAGTTAGTTACAACTACCTGATGGAGAATTCTTTTCTTTCATCTCTTGTGGTTGTTCCAAATAGTTTATTGGCCCATGATAGACCAACTTCCTTACTCTAGAGCAATGCTATATTTTTATCTCCAATAAATATTTTGTAGGTCATCTTGTTCTGCCACCGTTTTTGAACTTCTAAATTCATGAGAAAAAATGTGCCTAAGGGCAAAAGAAGATTTATTTAATAGCAATCTCTGACCCAGCAATAATCAATATACATCCCACTGATTCGTGCAGCATTGAAATAGTGTGTCTTTTACTGCCTCCAAGAACATGTTTTTGATTGTTTCTATTTTAAAATAAATACGATATCAGATTCAGTCCATCAATATATATTGAGGTTTTACTGTATACTAAGCACTTTAAATATATTATTTATGACCCTTGAAGATATACAGATGAGAAAACTGAGTCTCTGAGAGTTTAAGTGCCCAAGATTGAGTGAGATGGTGAACAAAAATTCCTACCCACATCAGACACTCTTCAATACACAACTTGGCTATGCAGGCAAGTTACCAATGTATCAAACCAACTTGTGAGTTATTGACATGTTCATTCATTGCTGAAGTCCTTTCTAGTTCTAAAACTGAAAATATTGAGGAGGAATTTTGTTGGTTCAGACATGATAGCTTCTCACTTTACCCCAAATTCAGATTCTGGTTTCATGACATCTCATAGAACTGGGAATCATTTTGCACACAAAAAGAGATCAGTCTTTTTTCCTCTGGTTATTTATTCAAACTAAACTACCTAACATAAGCAAAATGAGTCTTTAATTTTGATTTGCAAAGAAAAAGATAACAACTCTTTGATAATCCCCAATACCATAACCTTCAAAAACTGGGGAGGAGAGTGGGGTAGAAGCGAGGTAGAAAAAAGAATAAAAGAAGTGAAATCCACTCTTGATGTTAAATCAGTACATCTCACATTACTTCCTAAAGAAGAACTAGAGAAAGTGTTATTGTATAAACAGAAATATGGCATAATGATCCAGTGATCCCACTACACTTCGGGTGTATATCCAAAGGAAGTGAAATCAGTATTTTGAAGAGACATCTGCAATTTCATGTTTATTGTAAAATTATGCACCATAGCCAAGACATAGAACCAACCTATAGTGGATGGATGGATGAAGAAAATGCAGTATATATGCACAATAGAAATTTTTATTCAGCTAGAAAAAGGATGAAATCCTATTCTATGTGACAGTATAGGTGAACCGGGAGGACATTATGTTGACTGAAATAAGCCAGGCACAGAAAGACAAATACTGGATGACCTCACTGATATGTGAGAGCTAAAATAATTGAGATCATGGAAGCTGAGCATAGAATAATGGTTACCAGAAACTGGGAAAACAGAAGGAATCAGGAGGTGGGGAAGGTTGGTTAACAGGTATGATGTTACAGTTAGGTAGAAGGAACAAGTTCTGGCACCCTGTTGGATAGTAGGTGACTATAGCTAACTATAATGTATTGTATATTTCAAATAGCTAGAAGATTCTGAATGTCCTCATAACAAAGAAATGATAAATGTTTAAGGTGGTGAATATGCCAGTTACCATACTTTGATCACACAGTGTATACCTGTATCAGAATATCACGCTGTATCCCATAAATAATCACAATTATTATGTGTCAGTAAAAAATAAGTAAGGCATAAAGTTTCTTCGATTAAAATTTATGGAATCCCTACTCTATGTCAGGCACTGTGCTAACTCCTGGGGATGAAATGCTGAATTTGCTTACAGCCTTTCTTTGAAGGAACTTACAGCCTAATAGTAGACAGAAACAAGACTGAAGAGTGTGATACGGTGTTGCAGTGATGGAAATGTGAATAGGATGCTCAGGAGCTCAGAGGAGGGGCATGTCAAAATCGCTTCTTTAAGGAACGTGATGCTTAAAGTGAGCCTTAAGGAATGAATAAAGTTGGCCAGCTTAAGAGAAGTGCGATAGGAAGAACATCCCAGGTAAGAGCAAAATCACAGAGGTCATGGTAGTTAAAGTACAGAATTTGAAGAAAGGAGGGAAGAAAGATGAGGCCTTTGGGGAAGTTGTTTTTGTTTTTGAAGCAGAGTCTCACTGTTGCCCAGGCTGGAGAGCAGTGGTTTGACATCTTAGCTCACTGCAACCTCTGCCTCCCAGGTTCAAGCCATTCTCCTGCCTCAGCCTCCCAAGTAGTTGCATTACTAGTGTGTGCCACCACACTCAGCTAATTTTTTTGTATTTTTAGTAGAGATGAGGTTTTTACCATGTTGGCCAGGCTGGTCTCAAACTCCTGACCTCAAGCGATCAGCCCACCCTGGCCTCCCAAAGTGCTGAAATTACAGACATCAGCCACTGCACCAGGCCTGAAAGATGGATTCTGTTTGGAGTCTGAGACACCCTAATGAAAGTTTTTGGCAAGGAAGCTGAGTATGTGGGGCTGAAGTTTAGAGATCATCTGGGATGGAGATAGAGATCTGAGAGGTGGGAAGTGAGAGCTGAAAATGTGAGAGTTAATTAAAGCAGTCAGGGAGCATATACCAAGTGAGATCAACAAATATTTGAGAATAGAATGCAAATAAAAACCAACATTTAAGAACAGACAGCCCAAGAAGCAGAAAGAATAAGTCAGAAAGATGGGAGCAAACACAGTTCGGTATCACAGGTCAAGGTGTAGAATTAAAACAAAGGTGCGGCCTATAGAGACAGTAAGGACTGAAAAGATGAAGGCATTAGAGACACCAGGAAAGGCTTTGATCAATAGTGAGGATGGAAAAGGTAATTTTGATAGGAAGTAAAAAGAAAATCTGTAGTCTACTCTTGAGATAAATCTGAGGGATAAATGAGAAGAGAGGTTGGGTGACAGCTAGAGGAATATAGGAGGTCAAAGAGGAGGAGGAGGTGGCAGATGAACTGCTTTGAGAGTGCAAGATAAGAGATTTCAGTATGTTTCCAGGCTGAAAGGAAAAGCCAGTGGAAAGGTTGGAAACAGGAGACATAGGAAATGACAAATGGAGGGAACTGTCAGGGGAGGAACATCTTGTGCACTGAGACTGGGGAGGTGGGGAGGATGTTCTCACATGATTCACAGACAATTTGGCCCACCTGATTTAACACTCTGCCTGCATCTTCTAGTACAGATTCTCTCTTCCTTCTGTCAGCAAACAGCCCACTGTCCCTTGGATTTGTTGTGTCCTGCAGGAGAATTGTGCTTAAACTATGGGAAGCGGCACCTCCACCCAACATCATTTTGCTTTCCAGAATGCAGAGAGAGGTACGTGTTTCCCACTTTCAAACCAGCTGTGGGTACCACAAAGCCCAGATTGCAGAGAGGGTTGGGGGTTCTCAAGGTGGAAGCAGAAAACCATTACATTTCTCCTCAGGCCAACTCTTAGAGGTCAGCTTCCCCTCCTTGTGTCATGCCAACCAAAATGTCCAGTTGATGTATATTTGAGAGAATTAAAATTTGCCCAGGGAGCTAGTATTGTCCATTGGGGTTGATCCCAAACTACCCATGTACAAATAAATGAAATAAGGTTGGCCAAAGAGGGGATGAAACATTCCAGGCAGAGAGTAGAACATGTGCAAAGGTCATGAGGTGGGAAGAAGGAAGCATGAGCCCCCTCTCGTGGCTAATCTAACAGTTTTTTAAAACAATAGGCCAGTAGATATGGGTCACACCTGTAATCCTAGCACTTTAGGAGCCTGAGATTAGAGTATCTAGCTTGGGCCCAGGAGTTTGAAACCAGCCTGGGCAACACAGCAAGACCCCATCTCTAAAAAAAAAAAAAAATTTTTTTTAATTAGCTGGGTGTGGTGGCGAGGTCCTGTAGTCCTAGATACTCGGGAGCCTGAGGTGAGAGGATTGCTTGAGCGCAGGAGTTCAAGCCTGCAGTGAGCTATGATCACGCCACTGCACTGCAGCCTGGGTGACTAAGTGAAACCATTTCTAATATGATAAGGATATCAACTGTAATATAAATGGCAAATATTTTTTCCCAGTTTGTCATTTGTTTGGAGCAATTTTGGAATTAACTTCAGCTCAGGGTTTTCTTATCTTGTGAAGAACACAAATTCAATCCACACACACCACAAGCTAAGACTTCCTATCTCACTGAGAACTCTGAGTTCTAGGTCAGCTTACCTCCTGTTACCATGGGGGTTGGGAGGCAGAGATTTATTAGATCGCTCAACGCTCAGAAACTTCCCCAGCTCCTGCCTTTTCACAGACAGTCCTCAGGCCAACTCTTAGAGGTCAGCTTACCCTCCTTGGGTCATGCCCACCAAAATGTCCAGTTGATGTATATTTGAGAGAATTAAAATTTGCCCAGGGAGTTAGTATTGACCATTGGGGTTGACGTCCAGTTACCACTCCCTGTCATGCACAGAACCCAAGAACTCACTCCCATCCGCATGTGGGCGTTAAACCCCAGCTCCTGAGGCATGTGTCTGGTGCAGATTCCCCTGGGGCTTGCCTGACTTCAATGCCTGTAACTGCCTTTGGCTAGGGGTTCTATCTTCATTTCTGGCACCCAGAGATCTCCCTTCAGTGCTTTTGACTTCAACTATCTGTTAAAAAAAATTAGCTTATTATGCAGCTTTTTAAATGTGTTGGAGTTCGAGGGAGTCCTACATCTACTTAAGCATGCCATTTCTTATTGGAAGTCAGTACTAGCCTCTCTATTTTCCTTAAAGGGATATCATAATTCATTACGTTTTTATTGCTTACCTTTTGGCAACCTTATTCTTCCATTAGAGAAAGGCACTTCTTCCTAGAGGCATCATTTTTTTCCCTTTAAATCAGTGTTGTATATAGAGACATAAATATTGTTGAAAAAGATAATTAAAATAAGAGGGTAATCATCAAAAAATTCTCTGTTCTATTTTTCTTAAATAAGTTACCTGTTCTCCCACAGTCTACTGTGCATTGCCTTGGTTCACAATTTTCTCACAGGGTTGTTACATGTGGAGCTTTAACAGCCCAGGTGTATTTGTAACCTGTACCCTAATAATTTACTTTACACATGGCCCAAGTAAGAGGTGCCTCTACATTTCTGCATTGTGCTGTTAAAAATACATGATGAGATAAAGAATCTTAAAAGATCCTGCACTTCCCAGAGCCCATCTCAACTAAAGACAAGCCAGCCCCCTCACACCTCCCCAGATAGCCAACCAGGAGAAAGAAAGAAAGAGGGAGGATGAGAGGTGTTGCCCACTTCTCCTGCCTCCGTAGCCAAAGCAGGACTGAGGATATAATATGCATGTCTCATCATTGACAGCACTGGCCTTAGAATGCTCAGGGCAAGGTGTTAGCAGACAACCTGATGTCCATGATCTTCCTCAGTGGTCCTTAAACTTTAGCACAAGTAAGAATTATGTATGGAGCTTGTTAAACCTTCAGATTCCTTCCTGGATTCCATCTGTAGAGATTCAGATGTTGCAGGTCCAGGGTGAGGGGTAGCAGCTTGCATGTTTACCAGGAGTTCCTGAAGAATCTGTAGCGCCAGCCCTGGATCTTTCATTCACTATTCTTTTTTTGGGTCAGAGTCTCCCTCTGTCACACAGACTGGAGTGCAGTGCTGCAATCTCAGCTCACTGCAACCTCCACCTCCCAGGTTCCAGCAATTCTCCTGCCTCAGCCTCCCAAGTAGCTGGGATTACTACCCAGCTAATTTTTGTATTTTTGTAGACGGGTTTTGACATGTTGGCTAGGCTGGTCTTGAACTCCTGACTTCAGGTCACCACCAGCCTTGGCCTCCGAAAGTGTTGGGATTATAGGGGTGAGTCACCATGCCTGGCCTCATTCACTATTCTGAACATGGTTTTACAGAAGTCAGTGGTGGGGTTCAACCTCATCATTTATTATTTAGTGAGTGCCTTTGAGAAATACCAGTAATATGAATTTTTTTTCCATAGGAAATCAAGTTTAGCTTTAAGTCCCTCCCAGCTTCTCTTTTTCCACGTCACCATCACCTTTCCTGTTAGGAAAATCAGCAAGAATTCTATTATCTCTCTAATGCAAGCTAAATATATTAAATCAATCTGTCTACTGTTTATGAGTTTGACCTGAGTCAGCCTGCAGGGTTTCTAATCCAGCTTTATCCACAAATAGTCCATTCATCACCAGCAGCATATCTAGGCCTTGGAGCTTAAGAAGAATCTAGTTATGTGGACAGCTGTCCCCTTCTCTGGCACACAGGTCCTAAACCTTATATAAAGAATGAAACCTTCACACTCTAACCTGCCCTGCCTGGTCACCTAGCACCTTCAGGTGACCTAGTAGGTCACCTAGGTCCTGGCAAAAATGAGAGGCCCGGTGGCCATGTGAGGGACTGCCTGGTCAGTGCTGCCTATTTTGTGACGTGGATGCTTAAAGCCTGCAGGGATATCACAGAACTGGGATGACAAGCATGGAAGCTGGGAAACACTTGCTACCCCCTGACATATATGATGCATTAATTTCAGTATTTGTTTATTGTTTGTTTTTCCCAGTCTCCATCTGGTCCTGCTCTTTTCCAGATGAGGACATTGAAGCCCTGGATGACTTGCCTGAAAACACAGAGCTTACCAGGGCAGTTTGAGGTCTAGAACTCAGGTGTCCTGACATCCAGTCTATTGCTGCAATTCAAAATGTCCACCCCACCCATGCATTATAACCTGTCAGGGATGCCTCATCCTTGCAATCTCATGAGTTTACATCTTTTCAGAATCCTGGCAGTCCAACCTTTTCATCCCTACACAGAAATGTTTTTATCAATAAATGGGAATTCCAGTAAACCTATAGTGATATTAGTGGGTGGGCATAGTGGCTTACGCCTGTAATCCCAGCACTTTGGGAGGCTGAGGCAGGCAGATCATGAAGTCAGGAATTTATGACCAGCCTGGCCAATATGATGAAACCCCGTCTCTACCAAAAATATAAAAAATTAGCCGGGTATTGTGGTATGCACCTGTAATCCCAGCTACTCGAAAGGCTGAGGCAGGAGAATTGCTTGAACCTAGGAGGTGAAGGTTGCAGTGGCTGCGATCATGCCAATGCACTCCAGCCTGGGCAAGAGTGAGACTTTGTCTCAAAACAACAGCAACAACAACAACAACCAAACCTACACAGTATTAGTTTAACCATCAGGCAGGAATGAAGAGGAAGGGTTGGAAATGGGGAAAACACTATTGCCAGTAGAAAGGCAAATACTTCCTATGGGCGTCCGTGGGTAGTGCTTCCCTGCCATCTTGTTCTCACATGTTCAGTCAGAGAGGGCCGAGCAGCTTCCTCTCCCTACCCCCAAACCCGTGGCCCAGGGAGTCCCAGCTCATGCGCTTGCTTCTCCATCTGTGTCATAGCCTTCAAGGCAGCAGCCCTGATCCAGAGATGGTACCGGCGCTATATGGCCCGCCTGGAGATGAGGCGGCGTTGCACCTGGAGCATCTTCCAGTCTATAGAATACGCTGGGCAGCAAGACCAAGTCAAGGTACAGTGAGATGTGGGACGGAGCTGCCTCCTGCTCTGCCTTTCAGCCCTTGGGCAGCAGAGCCCAGGTGCTCCTAAAATGAGCCCAACTGGAATACTCGTGGGTTCTCTTTTACCTCATCTCTAAAGCCAAGTCTCCTTGGGTTCTTCTGCAGCTCCATGGTTTCTTCAGCTATCTCATGGATCACTTCACCCCCAGCAGCCACAACGAGAGTGAGTATAAACTGCCACATGCCATGTCCTCCTGTCACAAGGACATAGGGTGAGGTGGGGGATGCACAGGGAGGGAAACTATGAATCCGGTGACAGCCAGGGAATGAGCAAGGGGCTGACAAGTAAATGGCAGACTGCGATTTTATGCTGAATTCCCCTAAACACACACCTGGAGACAAGAGTTTAAGTGCAAGCAGTTCATTTATTAAGTTTGAGAAACACTGGGGGTGGGAGGGAGTGGGGAAGGGATTCAGGAAAGGAACAGCAGCCAGTCCAGCAACTCAGTGTGCCTGGGAAATAGTGCAGAACACAAGCCTCAGAATTATCCCACCTGCAGGCAGAGGGAACTGGAGTCTTTCTGTGTCAACTCCAAAGAGTCATTCATTGAAAGCAGCAGGGGAGGTGGGAGGGAAGAATGGAAGGAGGCTTTTTGTTTGCTTTGTTTTGTTTTGTGTTTTTCGGAAACAGAGTCTCGCTCTGCCACCCAGGCTGGAGCACAGTGGCATGATCTTGGCTCACTGCAACCTCTGCCTCCCGGGTTCAAGTGATTGAACGGCTGACACCTGAGTAGCTGGGATTACAGATGTGCACCACCACACCCAGCTAATTTTTTTTGTATGTTTAGTGAAGATGGGGTTTCATCATGTTAACCGGGCTGGTCTCCAATTCCTGGCCTCAAGTGATCCACCTGCCTTGGCCTCCCCAAGTGCTGGGATTACAGGTGTGAACCACTGGGCCCAGCCAGGAGGTTGTTAATTCCATAGCATTTCTGGCCTGCCACCTGGATCCAGGAAATAAGCCCTCAGGCTAGAGACGCAGAGGCTGGCAGTTGGCAGCTGCCAGAGGGCACTGCAAGGCCTGACGCACCAGCTGCGCTCAGTAAGTGCAGCATGCGTGCTGGTGAATGATTTTTCCACCCTGGCTTTCCCCTTTCCTTCTGCTTGCAAATCTAGGTCTCCAAATTTCTGTTCTCTCTAAGTCTGACAAATCTTGATCTTTTAGAATAAAAATAGAAAACATGACTTTTTATTCCTGTCCATCTTAGTCTGTTGTCACTTTCTCCTTTGTTTTTACTCTTCTGTGCTGGAGCTAAAGCCAGATTTACCATGTCCTGCTTCAACATTCCAGGGAAAAACTTTTTTTTTCTTTGAGACAGGGTCTCACTCCATTGCCCAGGCTGGAGTGCGGTGGTGTGATCTCAGCTCACTGAAACCTCTGCGTTCCAGGCTCAAGTGATCCTCCCACTTCAGCCTCTCAAGTAGCTGGAACTAGAGGCATGTGACACCATATCTGGCTAAATTTTTTTAAAAAATTTTGTAGAAACAAGGTTTCCCTATGTTGCCTAAGCTGTTCTCAAACTCCTGGGGGTAGGGCTAAGGGTTCCACAGGGTCATGGGGTGTCCCTTATGCTGTGCTGAGGCGCAGGATCTGAGAAATAAAGAGACAGAACACAGAAGTACAAGGAAAATGCAGCTGGGCTCAGGGGGGCCACATCACCTATAAGCGGAGACAGGTGAGGCCCTGAATGTCCAGAAGCATCTGTATTTATTGGGTACAGGTTAGGGGGAAGAGTAGTGAGTAAAGTCATCTTTAAGGATAGCGATAGGGTCTTGAGCAATGAAACAAGGGGTCCACCCCCATTAGGTCATTGAGGCAAGGAGGTGGGCCATGTGCAGTAACGGCTCCACCCCCATTAGGTCACCGAGGCATGGAGGTGGGCCGTGCACGGTGAAGAGGGTGCAGTATGCAATACCTCTACCCATGGGCATACTACTCCTAAGAAGATCTATAGGAGGATGCTTAAGTCACACAGCAGTGACGGAGCTGTCCAGGTCTACCGCCACCTGTGGCAGCTTCCAGTGAGTTCTATAGGAGAATGCTTTTGAGTTAGCACAGTAACAAGAGCTGATAAATTTATGTTCACAGTCACCAAGGTGCGATTATCCGGAGGGGTTTTGCGCCCTCAGATGCTGGAGGGATTGCCGGTCTGAGGGCAACCTTCCACAAGAACTGGAGCAATGTCCTACTACTCCTTTATCAGGAAGAGTGGCTCTTGCCCCAAGCCTGCCATACAGCAGGTATCTTTACGATACTGAACCCTGCCACCTGGGCCATGGATTCTTGTCCTGGTATAATTGTTTTTAAATCATGCTCTGCACTGTATCTGCTCCAGACATTCCTCTTGCTATAAGCTGCTTATTCCTTAATTCAGGCTCTGTACCGTGTCTACTCTAGGCATCCCTCCGATTATGAACTAAGATATATATATATATTATATATATATAATCTGGAAATAACTGAGTGGTACAATATTCTTTAGGCACTCATTCTATGAACTAATATATGATTGTATAAGGGGAAATAACTGAGCAGTAACACTATAAACTGAGATATTCTTCAGGTACTAATTGTGCCAGGATTCTGCTTAGCTCTCCTTCCTCTGTGCCTATATGGCGGGCGGGGGGGGGAGTAACCCACACTGGGCTCAAGCAATCCTCCCTCTTTGGCCACACAAAGTTCTGAGATTACAGGCGCGAGCCACCATGCCCAGCCAAGGACTATTCTATAGTGTCTGCAGACTTCATGATCAGATGATCATAAGCCGGTCCACCTTTTCTCTCTGGACTAGGGGACTTCCTCACCCGAATATTCACTGAGGAGAGATTCGCCCAGGACTCCAAGATGGAGAAATGCAGTGACTATGAGTCCATAGAAGTACCCGACAGTTACAGAGGACCACACCTCTCCTTCCCGCTCCTGCCTGACCATGCTACTGCCCTGGTAGAAGCATTCAGACTGAAACAAGTAAGCTCACCTGGGGAACTCGGGTCACCACCACCTCCATGAAATGTGTGAAGGGAGACCAAACCCAGCACAGAAAGAATGGCCTCAGATTTAGGGTGTTCGTGTCATGGGTCCACTAGACAGATTCTACCCCCGCTGTGCTTAGCCAGGATCTTTGGGTCAATCAGCCAGTTCTGACGATAGAAAGCTTTTCTTCCTAATCACTTAATCTCTCAGCGTTCATTCATCCCACACATAACTACCGAGCACGGCTTTGTGCCCCACACTGCTCTGGGCAGTGAACAAAACAGATGAAATCTCTGCCCTTATGAGGCTGGCATTCCACTGGGGAGGCAGACAATGAACAACAAATAACAATAAATAAGTCAATTATACAGTATTTTAGAAGGTGAGAAGAGCTATGGAAAAGAATAAACTAAGTTGTGGGTGGAAGAAATAGCAATCTTATAGAGTTGTCTAGGAAGGTGATTTCTGAGCAAAGGTCTAAGGTGGTGAGAAATGTGCTGGGGAAAGAGCATTCCGGGCAGAGGGAGGAACACGTGGAAAAGCCCTGAGGCAGAAACTTGCGTGGACTCTTCAAGGACCTCAGAAGGCCACTGTGGCTGGAGAAGACGGAGGCAGCGGGAGAGTAATGGCGGTGAGGGGGGTGGACTTGAATTCTTCCAAAAGAGATGGAGACAGCAGACCTAGGAATGACATAATCTGACTTGTTTTTTTAAATAATCATTCTGGTTGCTGTGTTAAGAGGGTGGAGGAGGCAAGGGCCAAAGCAGGGAGACTGGTCAAGAGACTACGGCAGTGGTCTGGGTGAAAGATGATAGCGGCTCGGCACTTGCGGGGTAGGGGCAGAGGCGGTGAGAAATGTCAGCTTCTGGCTCTATGTCAGAATCCAATCTTGCCCCTCTTCCACATGACTGTAACTCTTTGCAGGAGAAACTGAGCTGATATATTCCAGTAATGACAGGGTCACTCAGTACCATCAATGCCTCTGCACTTAGTCACATTTTACTGAGATAATCACGTGGTCCTCCTATGCTAAAGGCAAGGAAGGGTTTAATAGAGTAGAGAGGAAAGAGAAAAGTAGCTCAATATTTGCAGGAGGCACAAGTGGGGAGGATAAAAAGCAGAAACAAGGGCAGAAGTTGTGTGAAAAAGAAAGGATCCGTGCTTAGGGTCCCAGGAGCAGTTTACTGGGGTTACTTTTGGGGTCTTGGGTGATTGGAGTTGTTAAGCAGTAAAGGTAAGGACCATTTTCCCTCACGAATATCAGTGTCATTTTCTTCCCTTCTCCTCTTCCTCCTAGTAGCAGCTCCACGCTCGCTACGTCTTGAACCTTTTGTATGAAACCAAGAAACATCTGGTACAGCTGCCAAACATCAACCGGGTTTCAACCTGTTACAGTGAGGAGATCACAGTGTGTGGTAAGAGCTGGTCAGAAACGGCTTTCCATGGTAGACACAAACAAGAACGCTCTGCTCATGTGGGGATGCGGGAGCTGCAGTGGGGATGCGGGAGCTGCAGTGGGGCTGCAGGGGGATGTGATGATAAGCCAAGTTTCACTGCTTCAAATTCACGATTTGCATATTCACTCCACATTTACTTAAAGAAGGGGTGGTACAACAAAGGGGACCGTGGAGCTCAGGGCCCAGCCTCTGCTTTATTTTCCTAAGCAATGCATATTACTCAAACTCATGTTCTTCCTTCAAAACAAAATCCCTGCAAATAACCAGATCCTCCTTGTTAGAAGATGGTTTATTGAATGGTACTTGAGAAAGCTCCAGTGACTAGGAAATTATTCCTCCCAACCACATACATTCCTGTCCTGGAAAGAAGTATTGTTAATGACAGTTTTCCCCATCTTATGTTTCCAGTGATGGTTAACATCCTCATAGACTGACGTCCCACACCTTAAGCTAGTGGAGGGAGGCTCCAGTACACCAGGGATTGTAACTGGCACTGCTAGGGTCACCTGCAGCCTGCAGATAGGTCTTGCCTTGCAATGTTCACACACTTTTTTTTTTAATTTTTTTTTTTCTTCTTTTTTTTTTTAAATTGTATTTTAGGAATACACTTTTTTTTTTTTAAGGCTCAGTCGTACTGTTGTCCACCAGGCTAGTGTGCAATGGTTTGATCTTGGCTCACTGCAACCTCTGCCTCCCGTGTTCAAGCAGTTCTCTTGCCTCAGCCTCCCAAATAGCTGGGATTACAGGTGCCTGCCACTACGCCCAGCTAATTTTTGTATTTTTAGTAGAGACAGGGTTTCACTATGTTGGCCAGGCTGCTCTCAAACTCCTAACCTCGTGATCCGCCCACCTTGGCCTCCCAAAGTGCTTGGATTACAGGCGTGAGCCACCATGCACAGCCCATAAACTTTTAAAAATGGCATTTTGACATTTGAAAATTGGAAGATTTTATATTAGAGTCTAGATTTTGCTTTAAAGGTCTCTGAAAAAATCTTCTACCACTGGCTCATAAGTGAGTAGCCGCTTCCGACTTTAACATGGGCAAAATCTCTCCAGTTCTCATCTACGTTTGCAACCCTGCATTGTTCTGTTTCATCTTTGCTTCAATAAAAATATAGGTCATTTAAAATGTATAATAATCCTGCAGAAAAATATTATGCCTTCTGCTTTCAGTACTATCTCTGCAACGAGGAGAAATTAATATTTATCTTTATCTTACATATGGAAAACTTAGTAACTGTAGGTTTTTTTGTTAGATTCTTCTGGGTATTCTTCTTATAATAAAAATTACAAACATTAGTAAAGAACAGTAAGAACTGATATTCTTTTCCTATCTTTGTTAGGAGATTTACATGGCCAATTGGATGACTTAATATTTATATTTTATAAGGTATGAATGTTCAAATTAAGTTCTTTTCTTGCTCTGACGCTTAATTTAAAAGTTCAAATTCAGTATCAATTGACCAAATGCTTAAATATTTCTTGAATTTTTAAAATATTATTATTTTTTGAAATGGGGTCTCACTCTGTCACCAAGGCTGGAGTGCAGTGGTGCGATCTAGGCTTACTGCAACCTCTGCCTCCCAGGCTCAAGCAATCCTCCCACCTCAGCCTCCCGAATAGCTGGAACCACAGGTGCACACCACCATGCCCTAATTCATTTTTTAATTTTTTAATTTTCCTTTTTCAAACCCTTGGGTCCAGGGCTGACTTTCAATAGATCGTGGCAAGGGAGCTGCTCTGCTACGATGAAACCCTGACCCAGAAGCAGCTCCTCTATGAATGGTTTAGTGCCAGCTTCCCCACAAACGTGCATTGCATGACGGGCGAGGAGGCAGCCGCCTTTTTGACCGCACCCCATTTCCCACGACTAGGGGCTCTTCGCACCGGATCCTGGTCCCTGCCTGTGGCAGGGACGGCAGGAGACCGGCTATCTGAGGCCATCCGAGACCAACTGAGACCCCGCCAAGTTGCTGTATGGTTCTGCCTGGGCAGGATTAGTCATAATCCCACAGATGGTAGCTTCATCCCATTGGCTCTTTAGCCAAGTACATACACCAACTATCTGAACATGGGCTTCCTACTGAGCAGATTACCATGGCAACAATACATCATTGGTAAGGTAAAACTAACCTGTCTCATGATGGCCTAATTTTTTATACTTTTGATAGAGATGGGGTTTCACCATGTTGACCAGGCTGGTTTCAAACTCCTGAGCTCAAGTGATCCACTCACCTCGGCCTCCCCAAGTGTTGGTATTACAGGCGTGAGCCACTGCACCAGCCTAAAATATTATTTTTAATAATATTTGCTACTCTGCTGCCACAAATACATAAAAAAGTCAGCACCACATTATATTCTACTACATTTTTATAAACTATTTAACAAATATAAAATGTTTGATTAATAACTAAAAGGGACCAGGTGCAGTGGCTCATGCCTGTAATCCCAGCACTTTGGGAGGCCAAAGTGGGATGATTGCTTGAGGCCAGGAGTTTGAGATCAGCCTGGGCAACATAGTGAGGCCCTGTCTCTTAAAACATAAATAAATAGAAGAAAATCACTATTTAGCAACTGATTTTCTTTTTTCTGCATAAAGAAAACTGATTATTATCAAAACAATCAAAAGCTATTTTCATATATATTTTAGTTATAATGTGTAGAACATATAACAAGAGAGATGAGTATAATATTTTATTAATGGAATATTACTTTATACACATACTACATTTCCCATAGCATTTTCCCGTGCATTAACCCATGCAGATATTATTATTTCTAAATAAAGATAGTGTGGCCAGAACTTAAAACTGGCCTTTGGATCACATGTTCGGTGCCCTTTGTTCCACACCACATGGCAACACTCTGGTTTTGTCTGAAGGAGCATCTCATAACCTTAGCCTCGCTGGAAAGGAAATATAAGACCAATAGAAGACATTTCCATCATTTACTAGACATGATGTGATTGTCAAATGCCTACTGGTTTTAACCTGATTTCCTGTTTCCCTCCTCCCATTCATTCTTTGCCTGGTCTCCTTTTGAAAAGAACGGCCTCCCATCGCCAGAACGGTCATACGTGTTCAACGGTGACTTTGTGGATCGAGGCAAGGATTCAGTAGAGATCCTGATGATTCTTTTTGCCTTCATGCTGGTTTACCCCAAAGAGTTCCATCTTAACAGAGGAAACCATGAGGACCATATGGTGAACTTACGGTACAAGCCAAAACATACCTGGGTATTTGATGTTTGTTTGTTGTGATTGTAAAACGTTATTTCTTCAGAGCTTCTTGTTTGTTAAATGCCTTTAAAAGTAGTTTTCCAATTTTTTTAAAAGTAGAATATACAATATATAACATTAAATTTTTTTGTGGGGGGAGGAGACCGAGTCTCACTCTGTCACCCAGGCCGGAGCGCAAGTGCGATGTCAGGCCACTGTCTCCTGGGCTCAAGTGATTCTCATGCCTCAACAAAATATATACTCTCATCCTGAGTAGCTGGGATTACAGGTATGCACCACCATGCCCAGCTAATTTTGTATTATTATTAGAGACAGGGTTTCACTATGTTGGCTAGGCTAGTCTCAAACTCCTGACCTCAAGTGATTTGCACCCCCTTGGCATCCCAAAGTGTTGAGATTTACAAACATGAGCCACCGCACCCGGCCAAATTTTTTTTTTTTTTTGAGACAGAGTTTCATTCTTGTTGCCCAGACTGGAATGCAATGGTCACAAACTCAGCACACTGTAACCTCCGCCTCCCAGGTTTAAGCAATTCTTCTGCCTCTGCCTCCCAAGTAGCGAGGAAGACAGGTGCCCACCATCATGCCTGGCTAATTTTTTTTGCATTTTTAGTAGAGGCAGGGTTTCACCATGTTGGCCAGGCTGGTCTCAGTCTCCTGACCTCAGGTAATCCACCCGCCTCAGCCTCCTGAAGTGCTAGGATTACAGGCATGAGTCACTGCGCCCAGCCCAGATTTTTTGTTTTTTAATTAACACATTATTTTACTATTCCAATGAAACCACTGAATTTGTTCTCACATACTTGTACTCTATCATATAAACAATAGAGATTCATGATAGTAAAAAAAGTAGGAAATAAAGATAAGTAAAAGGAAGAAAATTAAAATATCCCATAATTCTCTGCCCAGGGATAATGATGTAATTGTAAACATTTTGGTGATTATTCCTCAGTCTCTTTTCTATGTATTTAAGTACATGTATCCAAAATGTGCATTCTTCTAAAAATGTGATTATGCTCTGATTTTTGTCACTAAATTTACTTTAATACCTATTTGTGCTTCGAAATCTAGATACGGCTTCACCAAGGAAGTGATGAATAAATACAAGGTGCGCTGCCTTTAAAAACAAAAGCTTCTCTTAGTTCAGATAAGTTGAGTGAATTATTTGATAACATTTTGTTCGTATTATTTTTTTTCAGATACATGGCAAGGAAATACTAAGAACCCTGAAAGACGTTTTCTGTTGGCTTCCGCTGGCCACTCTGATAGACGAGAAAGTTCTAATTCTTCATGGTGGGGTGTCAGACATAACTGATCTGGAGATTTTGGACAAAATAGAGAGGTGCAAGGTAATGATTAATGAAATAATACAAATCTCACCATAATGCCCAGTTTCATTGCCAACATAAATGCCATCTTACATGCTGACTGCAAATTGATTATGGCTGTTAAGAGTGTGGAGGCCGTTAAAAGTATGGAGCCTGTGCACAGTGGCTCACACCTATATAATCTCAGCACTTTAGAAGACAGGAAGATTGCTTGAGACCAGGAGTTTGAGACCAGACTGGGCAACATAGCAAAACCCTGTCTCTACAAAAAAATTTAAAACTTAGCTGGGAGTGGTGGCATGGCCCTGTAGTCTCAGCTACTTGCGAAGCTACAGCAAGCTCTCATTGCCATTGCACTCCTTCTTGCGGGGACACAGTGAGACCTTGTCACAAAAAAAAAAAAAAGAAAATTGAGAATCTACAGTTGGGCTGGGGGCAAGTGTGCTGTAGCCAGTTAGTTAGTCATGTCTAACTCACGTGTGCTGGTGGGAATAGCAGCCAGTACCATGTTATCTGCCATTGGATTTAGATAATTCTAAACACTACCTCTGATCATTGTCACCTAAAGAGGCTACACTTCCCAAATAATTCTTATTATCTTGAATTAAAGTCAAGAAATGTGTATTTAATCCCTACTACTACATTCAGACAGCATGCTATTTGGCAGAAAAAAAGATGAAGATCAATTTCAGTCAAACTCGACAAATATGTTTTGAGTGCTTACTACATGCAAAGAAAGTGCTAGAGGAGATAAAAAAGATGAAAGAGATGGTGACTGCCCCAAAGGAACACACAATAACCAGAATGTGTTGGGGTTGGGGGCAGAAGAGTGTGAGACAGGACGTTTTATTTACCAGTAACGATAGATTTCTATTTTCCATTTCATTTTGGAAATGGAAACCTAGAATGCAAAGATTCTATTTTCTTACACTTGACTTATCCCACACAGGAAACACTGCTAGAGCATCCATGATAGCATTTTCCTGAGAAGTTCCAAAGACAGGGAACTCATCACCACACAAGCCAGTCTACTTCAACTTTGGGCAATTCTAATGGATATGGATATGAAAGTCGATGTATATGAGACATACATGAAAGAAAGAACATGGCTTTAGAGTCAGACCAACCTGGATTTGAATCACAGAATAGGCAATTGTTGGCTGAAATGGCAGTTTGGTTCTGTGAAGTTGCCCAGATATCCAGGTTTCTTGTTACTCTTCCACCCCTAGTGTATGGCTTCTAGACGTAGCTACTATTTATGACTCCTTGTGGTTTGGTGACTAGAAACACGCTATGTGTCCCTGTACACCCAAACTCAGCGTTTTCACTTGCACATCTATTTTATCTTTGTTGTTTGTTTTTGGCACAGGGTCTTACTCTGTCACCCAGGCTAGAGTACAGTGCCGTGATCACGGCTCACTGCAGCCTTGACCTCCTGGGCTCAGGCAATCCTCCTGCCTCAGCCTACTGAGTAGCTGGGACTACAGTCACACACCATCATGCTTGGCTAATTTTTAAAAAATTATTTGTAGAGGATGGAGCATGGTGGCTCATGCCTGTAATCCCAGCACTTTGGGAGGCCAAGGTGGGTGGATCATGAGGTTAGGAGTTCAAGACCAGCCTGGCCAACATGGTGAAACCCTGTTTCTACTAAAAATACAAAAATTAGCTGGGTGTGGTGGCACACACCTGTAATCCAAGCTACTTGGGAGGTAGAGGTAGGAGAATTGCTTGAACCCAGGAGACAGAGGTTTTGGCGAACCAAGATAGCATCACTGCACTCCAGCCTGGGCGACAGAGCAAGACTCTGTCTCAAAAAAAAATTATTTGTAGAGATGGGGTGTCACTATGTTGCCCAGGCTAATCTCAAATACTTGGGCTCAAGTGATCCTGCCACTTTGGCCTCCCGGGTGGGATTACAGGTGTGAGTGACCACACCTAGTCATCAGTTGTATCTTGATGTTTCTCACAAACTTTCAACTCAAACATTCTGTCCAACTGCATCTTTGTCTGGAGGCAGAGATAGCAAGTCACAGTCAAGCAGATTATCTCATGGGAAGAATCCTATTTAATCATGTAATCATAGAAGAAGGAACTCTGGGAAAGAATGCTAAATAAAAGTTTATTTTCTGTGGTTTAGCAAACTTCCCGACATTTGGTTTGCAAAGTTCTAGAGGGTGATGCAGCAAACGGTACAGTCTAGGGACGACTCGGGAGATAAGTACAGAGAAGCATGGGCTCCAGAGTCAGACTATATGGATTCAGTCCTGGAAGAGTCTTGGTATTTTGTGCCTCTGTTTTCTTATCTGTACTGTAAACGAGGCTATCTTATAAGAGCGATATGAGGGTCAATCGACTAATTTTTTTTTTTTTGAGACGGAGTTTCACTCTTGTTACCCAGGCTGGAGTGCAATGGCGCGATCTCAGCTCACTGCAACCTCCGCCTCCTGGGTTCAGGCAGTTCTCCTGCCTCAGCCTCCTGAGTAGCTGGAATTACAGGCACGGGCCACCATGCTCAGCTAAGTTTTTGTATTTTTAGTAGAGATGGGGTTTCACCATGTTGGCCAGGATGGTCTCGATTTCTTGACCTCGAATCCACCCGCCTCGGCCTCCCAAAGTGCTGGGATTACAGGCGTGAGCCACCGCGCCCGGCCTAATTGACTAATTTATAGAAAGTGAGGACAGTACCTATTTGGAAAAGGTTCAATACATATTGACACTATTAGTCTCCTTAAGTTAGGGATGCTGCTTGGAGCAGATAACAACATCCTTAAAATAAAATTACCTGAGAGTTGGAAGAGGTGGGACTGGTGGGCTGGCCCTCATTGTGTACCAGCGAGGCGCGAGGAGGAGGTTATCAGTCGGTTCACATTTTGTGTCTTTACACTCTCTATGCCCGAGACTGGAACTGCCTAGAAAGTGAATAACGCTTGTCCAATGTCAGAGAATAAGCTCTGTTCTCTTCTCTTTACTCTGGACTGTTCTTCAAACATCAGTCAGCTCTGCTTCCCCTCTCTGGGTGTCCTTTGTTCTTGCCTTAAGCCAGTCCATGCTGGCACATGGCTTTCTTGTGTCACAGTCCTCAGATCTATCTGCAGAAAGTTCTCACTCTTTGATTATATGCTCACACAGAGTTCCTTTTGGGAATGAGCCCTGTGGTGGATATCCCATGGAAGTCTTCCCTCTCAGCGTTCACCGTAGCACTCAGGCACGAGAGGAATGGCTGCTCTTTCTTTTTGCTTGCTGCTACAGTCTGCTCTCCTGACCCCTCTCTTACCGTGATCAGAATTCGTGCCACTTACGTCCTCTACATTCTCAACTCAGTCCCAGTGCCATGATGACTGCAAGAGAGAGGGACTCTATTTAATCCCCTATGACAAGAAGTGTCTTTCTGATTAGGTCCAGTCTGAAAAGAGAAGCTCGCTCCCCTCCCCTGTCCTTCCCCAAATGGTAAGATAATGGCTACAAGAGCATTTCCTTTAAAGTACCATTAGGTGCTGTCTCCTCTGCAGCAAGAGTTAAGCTTTTCTTCTTCCTATGTCTCACCCACATACTTTCAGTCTTTTTTTTTTTGAGAGGGAGTTTCTTTTATTTTTTAATTGCATTTTAGGTTTTGGGGTACATGTGCAGAACATGCAAGGTAGTTGCATAGGTACACAGTGGCAGCGTGTTTTGCTGCCTTCCTCCACTTCACCCACATTTGGCATTTCTCCCCATGCTATCCCTCCCCAGCTCCCCCACCCACTGTCCCTCCCCTATTCCCCCCAATAGATCCCAGTGTGTAGTGCTCCCTTCCCTGTGTCCATGTGTTCTCATTATTCATCACCCACCTATGAGTGAGAATATGCGGTATTTCATTTTCTGTTCTTGTGTCAGTTTGCTGAGAATGATGTTCTCCAGATTCATCCATGTCCCTACAAACGACAAGAACTCATCATTTTTTATTGCTGCATAATATTCCATGGTGTATATGTGCCACATTTTTCCAGTCCAGTCTATCATCGATGGGCATTTGGGTTGCTTCCAGGTCTTTGCTATTGTAAACAGTGCTGCAATGAACATTCGTGTGCATGTGTCCTTATAGTAGACTGATTTATAGTCCTTTGGATATATACCCAGTAATGGGATTGCTGGGTCAAATGGAATTTCTGTTTCTAGGTCCTTGAGGAATTGCCACACTGTCTTCCACAATGGCTGAACTAATTTACACTCCCACCAGCAGTGTAGAAGTGTTCCTATTTCTCCACATCCTCTCCAGCATCTGTTGTCTCCAGATTTTTTAATGATTGCCATTCTAACTGGCATGAGGTGGTATCTCAATGTGGTTTTGATTTGCATCTCTCTAATGACCAGTGATGATGAGCATTTTTTCATGTTTGTTGGCCTCATGTATGTCTTCTTTTGTAAAGTGTCTGTTCACATCCTTTGCCCGTTTTTGAATGGGCTTGTTTTTTTCTTGTAAATCTGTTTGAGTTATTTGTAAATTCTGGATTTTTTTTTACCATTCTGTTGGTTGCCGATTCACTCTAGTGACTGTGTCTTTTGCCGTGCAGAAGCTGTGGAGTTTGATTAGGTCCCATTTGTCTATTTTGGCTTTTGTTGTCAATGCTTTTGGTGTTTTGTTCATGAAGTCCTTGCCTATTCCTATGTCCTGAATGGTTTTGCCTAGATTTTCTTCTAGGGTTTTTATGGTGCCAGGTCTTATGTTTAAGTCTTTAATCCATCTGGAGTTAATTTTAGTGTAAGGTGTCAGGAAGGGGTCCAGTTTCTGCTTTCTGCACATGGCTAGCCAGTTTTCCCAACACCATTTATTAAATAGAGTCCTTTCCCCATTGCTTGTTTTTGTCAGGTTTATCAAAGATTGTATGATTGTAGATATGTTGTGTTGTTGCCAGTCAATGGTGCGATCTTGGCTCACCACAACCTCCACCTCCAGAGTTCAAGCAATTCTCCTGCCTCAGCCTTCTGAGTAGCTGGGATTACAGGCATGTGCCACCATAACCTACCTGACCATGTTGGTCAGGCTGGTCTCAAACTCCTGATCTCAGGTGATTTGCCTGCCTCAGCCTCCCAAAGTACTGGGATTATAGGCATGAGCCATCATGCCCGACCCACTTGGAGTCTTTTTCTTTGTTTTAGTATCTTTGGAATGGCAGCAAAGTCAATAAAGACTGGCCTTTCTGAGGGAGAGTTACCCTTTCCTGTCCTTGTCTAAAAAGTCACTGGTCTTCTAGAGAGAAACGATGACCTAGGTTAGTGTTTCTCGAATAATATGTGAAGGACCAGGTTTTATAAACTTCCAATTTGTCATAGATCAATGCTTTTGTAAAATAAAATAAATTATCAGAAAAATGTTGAAATAATATGTACAGCAACCCCCCATGACATGTGTTTACCTATGTAACCTTCACATGTACCCCCAAATCTAAAATAAAAGTTAAAAAAAGAAAAAAGAAATACAAACAAAAAATACAAGCCTACTGATCATGGCAATATCATATTGCCATAAACGTTTCTCAGACTTACTCTCAAGGGCTGTACTTATCTTGTTCCATGTTTACCTTGTCCCAGGCCAGGACCAGTGAACAGATCAGCCCTTGTCTGTGGACACCACTGTTTAGGACTGACCTGCGTGTCAAAATGGTGCTCACAAAGGACCTACACTTCCTTCCTTTTTTCCTTCTTTCTTTCCTTCCTTTCTTCCTTCTCCTCCTCCTCTTTCCCTTCCTCATTCCTTCTTTCCTCCCTCCCTTTTTCTTTCTTCCCTCCCTCCCTCCCTCTTTCTCTTTCTTTCCTCCCTCCCTTCTCTTTCTTTTCTTTCTTTCGTCTTCCTTCCTTCCTCTCTCCCTTTCTTTCCTTTCTTTCTTTCTCTCCTTTCCCTCCTTCCATCTTTCCTTCTTGCCTTCCTTCCCTCCTTCCTTCTTCTCAGGATCTCCCTCTGTCACCCAGGCTAGAGTGCAGTGGTTCAATCTCCGTTTTCTGCAGCTTTGACCTTCTGGGCTCAAGTGATCCTCCCACCTCAGCCTCCCTAGCAGCTGGGACTACAGGCATGTGCCGCCATGACCAGCTCCTTTTTTGATATTTTTTTGTAGAGACAGGGTCTTGCCATATTGCTCAAGTTAGTCTTGCACTCCTGCGCTTCAGTGATTCACTGGACTGTCTCTCAAAGTTCTAGGATTACAGGAGTGAGCCACCACAACTGTCTGGGCCTACAGTTTCATTCCAGCATCTGTCTCTCTTTCTGGACATGTTTAGATAGTTTCCATCATGAGGTACAAAACGAGACAGAAGAGTGAGAAGCAGATGGAGGAGCAGAGAAAAGCCAACCAGAAGAGCTCCGCACAGGGACCCATCCCATGGTTTCTCCCCCAAAGCCGCTCTCTTCCCTCTTCCCCCCTTCGTCTGGGCCCCTACAAGGCTCACAAAAGCAGCAGGTCCTCCAGCATCCCCTGTGGCGGATCCCTGGATGGGCAGGAGCTCTCCCAGCAGGTGCGGAGCTCCGTGGAACTGGAGCTGGAGCGGTGCCGGCAGCAAGCAGGCCTCCTGGTGACCGAGGAGAAAGAGGAGCCCTCGGGCTCGGCCTCAGAAACAGACTCTGACACCGGAGAGCTGCGGAAGCCCACTCAGGAGGAGTGGAGGCAGGTGAGCGTGGCTGGCTGCTGCTTCCCAGCACGTGGCTGCCAATAGGTTAAACCTCCTCCTTCCGAGGAAACTCAGGGTATGTTTTGAGGCCCCTCTTTCTCTCTCTCTTTGGGGTTTCAACACTGCAAAAGGACACTAGTATTTGCCTAATGACTCATATGCTTTAGTTTTGTTTTGTTTTTGAGATGGAGTTTCGCCCTTGTTGCCCAGGCTGGAGGGCAATGGCGTGATCTCGGCTCAGGGCAATCTCCGCCTCCTGGGTTCAAGTGATTCTCCTGCCTCAGCCTCCTGAGTAGCTGGGACTACAGGTGTGCACCACCACACCCAGCTCATTTTTTTTGTATTTTTAGTAAAGACGAGGTTTCACACGTTGGCCAGGCTTGTCTTGAACTCCCAACCTCAAATGATTCACCCACCTCAGTCTCCCAAAGTGCTGAAATTACAGATATGAGCCATCACGCCGGGCCTCTTTTGCAATTTGTAAAAAAAAAAAATCTTAAAGTACTTTAAGAAATAAAATGTCGATTGCACTTTCCCACAATCATGTCTGAGGGCTTGTGATTATGCAGGAGACTCTCTTGCCAGTCCCAGGACTTGTGGCTTCCGTTTAGGGCAAACATCCAGAGCCTGGAGCACTGGCGCTGACTGAAAACTACTGGCCGTGATCAAAGCTTCTCCCAGGCAACTTCATCTGTTTTACATATTGAGTTTTCATATCAGATTTATTTTCAAGAAAATGGGCATATACTTGTCAACTAATATATACACATGCTAATATATACACATTTTGTGAGTAATAAAAAATTCTGGAAACTTAGATATCTAGAATATAAATATATGTCAAATATTCCTTGCATGGACATTTATTCACTTATTCAAATATTTTCCTCCTCCTCCTCCTCTTCCTTTCATTCGAATGACTGCGGATGAATATCTATCTAGTGTTTGGGAAGGAAATCATCTCTTGGTCTTCTCAGGTTGTAGACATCCTGTGGAGTGATCCCATGGCTCAAGAGGGCTGCAAGGCCAACACCATTCGAGGAGGAGGCTGTTATTTTGGGCCTGATGTGACAGAACAGTTGCTACAAAAATACAATCTGCAATTCCTGATCCGTTCACACGAATGCAAACCCGAAGGCTATGAATTCTGTCACAACCGCAAGGTGGGTGCTCCCTCTGCAGCAGCACAGGCGTGTGTGTCCCAAAGTAGTCCAAAGGGCCCAGACCCTGATGAGCAAAGGCTCTCAGTTCCTAACAACCTACAGAGCTTGTATGTGTTACCCACTTGCTCAAAGCAACTAGGTCCTTTACAGTCATTGATCCTTGACCCTTATAGCCTCTTTGAAACCCAAAGTTTGATTGAGGCCACTGTCCACTGATACCTGGAGTGACATGGTCCTATTTTATGAATGGAAATCCGAGGCCAGCGTTTTCCCAGCCACATCTCTATTCTTCAGGTCACATGGCTCACTGTCACACGGCTCAAAAAAGCCTACAGGGTAACTGGATTTCTGCACTGCTGCCCACGCAGGGATTTAGGATCATTTGTCTTCTCAGGAGCACAATTGACATCCTGACTAATCTTTGGACATCTCCAAATCCTACAATATTTGTCTCGCCTAATACCAGTAAGCCATACAAGTTTTTTTATTGCAGGACTTCTGAGAAGCTTTAGTTTCCTCTTTTTTTTTTTTTTTTTCTTTTTGTTGTTGTTGTTGGAACAGAATCTCTCTGTTGCCCAGACTGGAGTGCAGTGGCATGATCTTGGCTCACTGCGACCTCTACCTCCTGCGTTCAAGCGATTCTCCTGCATCAGCCTCTAGAGTAGCTGAGACTGCAGGCATGCACCACCATGCCCAGCTAATTTTTGTATTTGTAGTAGAGACAGAGTTTCACCATGTTAGCCAGGATGGTCTTGATTTCCTGACCTCGTGATCCACCTGTGTTGGCCTCCCAAAGTGCTGGGATTACAGGTGTGGGCCACTGTGTCTGGCCCTAGCTTCCTATTTTCACTGCAAATCTTCAGGAAGAGATACAGTATCTAGCATTTCCCAACATAGTGACTATGAACTTTTTTCATAGAGCATCTGAGGAGCCACAACAGTCCGTAGGAAACTGCTTTAAGGCACCGCATCAGCTCTCAGATCTGAGCTTCCTGCTTTTTGTAGTGACCATCCTGGTTTATCAGACCCAGCTTCGCCTCTAAGTTGAAACAAATACAGTGTTTTCTGTGACCCCTGCTATTTTCACTTGAGATAAAAATGTGAAGAAGATACGTTGTGAAACTATCAGAATTCAAATTTCTATGGCTTCAGTCATAACTCTTGCCCTATTAGCATTGATGACTTTAAAAAAGGAAGGAAGGAAGGAAGGAAGGAAGGAAGGAAGGAAGGAAGGAAGGAAGGAAGGAAGGAAGGAAGGAAGGAAGGAAGGAAGGAAAGAAGATTCCCAGATGAGCACTAAGAGAAACAGCAGCCTCTGCAGTTGAGTTTGGCCATATAGGATTGAGGGTTAAAGTTTCTTCAGTGAATGTGAATGCCTGTCTCTCTTCTGTTTTGATGTAGGTATTAACCATCTTTTCTGCCTCCAACTACTATGAAGTTGGCAGCAACAGAGGGGCCTATGTCAAACTGGGGCCAGCCCTGACCCCACATATCGTGCAGTATCAAGCGAACAAGGTGACCCACACACTCACCATGAGGCAAAGGCAAGATTTTTCAATGAGTGATTGAAAGTAAAAAAGTAATAGTGTTTGTAGAATCTTTGAATGAAGAATCAAACATTACATTTATCTAAATTCTATGTGAGAATTCAGAATTTGGCTATGTCAGCATGAAGTTCTAGTAAGACGATAGACGTTATTATAGGAGTCTCTTTTTTCCTCCACACACTCCTAATAGCTCTATCTTCCTATCATTAATGGGAGCAACAAGTATGTTTTCTGCAGAAATTGTTCTTAGTGGTGCGCTGGGCTCATGCCTATAATCCCAGCACTCTGGGAGGCTAAGGCAGAAGGATGGTTTGAGCTCAGGAATTCCAGACCAGCCTGGGCAACATGGAAAAACCCCATATCTACAAAAAACACAAAAATCAGTCTGATGTGGTAATGTGCTCTTGTAGTCTCACCTACTCGGGAGGCTGAAGTGGGAGGATGGATTGAGTTTGGGAGGTGGAGTCTGCAGTGAGCCAAGATTGTGCCACTGCACTCTGGCCTGAATGACAGAGCAAGACTGTCTCAAAAAAAAAAAGAAGAAGAAGAAGAAGAAAAAGAAGAAATTATTCTCTATGGCTGCATCTTAGATAAAGTCTACTTACTAAGCCATTAAGTCTTTCTAAAGTTACTCTCCTATTTTCTCTCATCTTTAAAGGGTTTGTGTTACCCCTGCAAGCTACAGCCAGATTTTCTTTCACTGTCTGGAGATTTGGCAGGTGAAATTAGTGCACATATTTGTTAAGGAGGCACCTTTCTTTCTTGAAGGAACCATATAATATTATTTAAATGGTAGCTTTTGAGATGATTCTGAGTTCTTAGTTGAGAGATTACCGCCACAAAATGTTATAAAGAATTTATATATGTAGTCTCACAATGAATTCATGCAACAGATACTGTTTTTAATTTCAGTTTTGTAGAAGAGATTATTAAGGAACCAAGGTTAAATCAGCTGACCTGTGGTCACATAGCCAGTCTTTGAGCAAAGGTAATCCTTGACCAAGGCAATTCTATTTCAGAACCCACGCTTTTAATGTCTATGCAATATTGCCTCCTACAGCCAAGATGACCTCAGAGTATATAAGATGCTAATAGATAGAGTCTTAGTACTATTGAGTGTGCTTCTTTAAGTGTTCAGCCTAACAGAGTTAGAAATTAAGATAGGCAAAGTTAGCATAAATCAGGTGGATAGACAACGTTACTTAGCATTTACCCCTGTGTGAGTGCTATAAAAGTGCATTATCTTAAATCATTCTCAAGTTATTAAATATAGGCCAGCCTCACTTAAAAACAATTATGTAAAAATATAAACTCACCAAGTGAATGTCAGACCCATTATACAGCAAAATCTTCTGTGGAGCTTTATAAAAAGTCAGCCATTGGCCAGGTGCGGTGGCTTATTCCTGTAATCCCAGCTCTTTGAGAGGCTGAGTCAGGTGGATCACGAGGTCAGGAGTTCAAGACCAGCCTGACAAAGATGGTGAAACCCCATCTCTACTAAAAACACAAAAATTCGCCAGGCATGGTGGCAGGCGCCTATAACTCCAGCTACTCTGGAGGCTGAGGCAGAGAATGCTTGAACCCAGGAGGCAGAGCTTGCAGTGAGCCAAGATCATACCACTGCACTCCAGCCAGGGCGACACAGTGAGACTCCGTCTCAAAAAATAAAGTCAGCCATTTGAGCCTCACCCAGACCTACCAAATTAGAATCTCCAGGGGTGAGCCCCGGTGCCTGGAGCCTAGAACTATGATTCCATAGGATTTAAGGGTTGTCACTGCAAAAAGAGTCACTGTAGGGAATCCTAGAATTAGCATGTTTCAATAAGATAGTCAAAAAGCATTCAGCCCTTTGAAACCTTCATTGATTGCATTAAATAAGTATAACATCAGCGGGGCTGATGCCTATAATCCCAGCACTTTGGGAGGCCGAGGCGGGTGGATCACAAGGTCAAGAGATTGAGACCATCCAGGTCAATATGGTGAAACCCCGTCTCTACTAAAAATACAAAAAATTAGCTGGGCATGGTGGCGCGTGCCTGTAATCCCAGCTACTCAGGAGGCTGAGGCAGAATTGCCTGAACCCAGGAGGCGGAGGTTGCGGTGAGCCGAGATTGTGCCATTGCACTCCAGCCTGGGTAACAAGAGCGAAACTCCGTCTCAAAAAAAAAAAAAGAAAAAAGAGAAATGTCTCTAAGCAGCCATAATTGATGTCTTGATGTCCATAAGCCCAAGATAACATGCTTTTTTTTTTTTTTGCTTTGTGTGTGTGTGTGTTGTGTGTGTGTGACAGGGTCTTGCTCTGTCACCCAGGCTGGAGTACAGCACTGCAGCCTCAACTTGCTGGGCTTAAGAGATCCTCCCATCTGAGCTACCTGACAGCTGGGACTACAGGCATGCGCCACCATGCCCAGCTAATTTTAAAAATTTTTTGTAGAGACGAAGTCTTACTGTTCTTCCCAGGCTGGTCTCAAACACCTGAGCTCAAGTGATCCTCCTGCCTCGGCTTCCCAAAGTGCTAGGATTATAGGTGTGAGCCACCATGCCTGGCTTGATACCATGCTCTCCTTAAAGAAATCTCATTTAGAATTCATTTACGTTTTTGTTTCAATACACTTCTCACAATAATAGCATAGCCAGCTGGGAGGCAGCATAGCCAGATGGTTATCTGGCCTCACTCCTTGGTAGCTAGGTGACCCTGACCGAATTACTATCTTTGTCTGTAATGGGCATAATGGATTTAATGTTATGGTACTTTCTTTGATGAGTGTTGAGGGATTAATGAGATAATCCATGTAGAGCTCTGCATTTAGTAAGTGCTTACTTTGTATTGCTTGACGTAGGGACAGGAAAGCCTTGTACATCCAGATAACTTTCAAGGGCATTGCCCTACTCCATCCCTGTATAACTCTCAATGACTACAGATTACCAGGAGCAGTTTAAATGCTTTGTCTAACTAGTGGTTCTTAAACTTTTTAGGAGTCCCATACTTCTGTTAGCCTCTGATAAAACAAACTCTCTACAAAAAAAATCACATATGCTCACATACCTGTGAAATTTGCGGTGAATTTTAGGTGGTTCACACTTTGTTTTCCTTTTGTAGAGACAGGAAAGGGCCTTGCTCTGTCATCCAGGCCAGAGTGCAGTGGCTCTATCATAGCTTACTGTAAGCTCGAACTCCTGGGCTCAAGTGATCCTCCTGCCATAGTCTCCCAAGTAACTAAGATTACAGGCATGTACCACCAAGCCTGGCTAATTAAAAAAAATTTTTTTGGTAAAGAAACCCAGCCTAGCTGTGTCGCCCTGGATAGTCTTGAGCGCCTGGCCTCAAGTGAACCTCCTGCCTCAGCCTCCCAAAGTGCTGGGATTATAGCATGAGCCACCGTGCCTAACGGTTCACACTTTTTTTTTTTTTAATGAGATAGGGTCTCACTCTGGTTGTCCAGGCTGGAGCACAGTGGCACAATCTTGGCTCACTGCAGCCTCAACCTCCCAGGCTCAGGTGATTCTCCCACCTCAGCCTCCTAAGTAGCTGGGACCATGGGCCTGCACCACCATGCCAGGCTAGGTTGACACTCTTTTAAAGGTCTATGTAGCCCACTTAAAGACTGTCATGTTAAATGCCTTCCACTGCAATAAGCTTTTCATCAAACATGATTAATTTTTTTTAACTTTTAACATTGAAAAAGATAGGTTATCTGGTCATTATTTGTAGAATGGCTGGTTCCTCAATAAGATATTACAAGTAACATAGGCTTATCTTTTATCTCTTTTTATATTCTTTTTTTTTTTCCTTTTTTGAGACAGGGTCTCACTTTGTCACTGAGGCTGGTGTGCAGTGGTGTGATCTCAGCTCACTGCAGCCTCGACCTCCTGGACTCAAGTGATCCTCTGACCTCAGCCCCACGAGTAGCTGGGACTACCGGCATGCACCACCATGCCTGGCTAATTTTTGTGTGTGTGTGTGAGTAGAGAGAAGGTTTTGTCATGTTGCCAAGGCTGGTCTCAAACTCCTGGGCTCAAGGAATCCGCCTGCCTCAGCCTCCCAAAGTGCTGGGATTACAGGCGTGAGCCACCATGCCAAGCCTCTTTTTATATTCTTGTTCATTCAATTACAGATATTTATTGAGCACTTACTTTGGACCCAGTACTGTGCCCAGCATTAGTCTATTGACCCAATAAGGATGAGAAAACTAAATTAGTGTTATTTTGTTATTTATAAATTTTGCCTTCTGTTTCACATGACAATAAATTACAAAGAGTGCACAATGACTGTGATTACAGATACAATTTGGTGAGTGCTTTCTATGTGCCAGGCTTTCTTCTAAGTGCTGTACATGAAATTACTCATTGTAATCTTCACAATCATCCCATGAGGCAGAGATAGGTTTAATCGCTGTTTTACAGGTGGGGAAACTGAAGCACAGGATGGTTAGGGAACTTTACCACAGAGGCGATCTTTCTCCAGAACTCTTCTCTAACCACTGTCCCATACCTGGAAGGACAGTGGCGTTCCCCATACTCATCCTATTTGTTTACAGGGAAGAGGAAAGCAGCTCATCCTTAAAAACTGAGCTCCTGGGGGACTGATATGTTATGAAAGAGAGAGGAGAAATGTAGTGAAATATCTAAGTATTTCTTCTATACCAATTCGTTAAAATGTTGCTTTTCATCTCCTGGGCCAGGATTAGCAGAGTGGAGGAGTCGGCTCTGAGAGCTCTGCGGGAGAAGCTGTTTGCTCATTCTTCAGATCTTCTCATCGAATTTAAGAAGCATGATGTAGATAAAGTCGGTAAGAATGATCAAGTTAAAGATTCCCTGAGGAGGAAGCTAGCCACAAAACCTGTCTTACACTAGTTAGCAAATAAACATTTGTTGCTTTAATGAGTGACCCAAAGTCCCCTTTGGCTTATCCTCTATATTATTCAAGTTAATGTCTCATTTATTCTAACTAAATTTTAATATTCTAAGCTTTTAACAAAATATGAACTTGGCCAAATAGAGGGGTTGAAATGAAATAGTCAGGGGAAGGGTAACGTGGCCAGAACCAAGCAACGAACAAGTGGGAGAAGTTCTAAGAGTATCACTAAGACTAGCAAAAGACCAATGACTTGACTTGTTGAAGCTGAGTCTGTGCTTACCTATTCCATGATCTGTTATCCAACCTGAAAATTTTTGTCTGTTCAACAAATGGAATGTCTAATGGATATTGACTAAATATATCCCTATTTAAAAATCACAGTAACATTTATGAATTCATAGCAATATCTTTTCACATACACATATTGTAGCCTTCCAAGAGTTTCAGTGAATTATATATTCTAAGGAATTTAGGAGGTTTAATTTTTTTGGGTAATCAATGCTGTAGATATATAATGTTTTATGATATTATTTACAAGCTCTTACGTGGCTTACAGATGTATTGCCAGATTTAGTAAACAAGAATGTAAAATGCCTAACTGAGTTTGAATTAAGACAAACAGATAGATAGAAAATATTTTTTACGCAATATTTACAGGCACTTATATATACTTAACTGTCCATCTTGAATTCAAATTTAACTGGACATCTCGTATTTTACCTGGCAAGCCTAGCTTCCAGCCAACTCTGCCACTACCAACAAAAATAGGACAGTGCCAATTATTTCTATTACCCACAGATAGTAAGAAGGATGTCAGGATTAAAATATACACACCACTGGGCAGGAAATGAGACTTCTAGGTGACAAGTCAACAAGTTAGCTCTCTCCTGTAGGTTTAATCACCCTGAGTGACTGGGCTGCAGTGGTGGAGTCTGTGTTGCATCTAGGACTGCCATGGCGGATGCTGAGGCCACAGCTGGTGAACAGCTCAGCAGATAACATGCTGGAGTACAAGTCTTGGCTGAAGAACTTGGCCAAGGAACAACTGAGCCATGAGGTAATGGTGTAACAATGATGGATGAGAGCACGTGTGGTCTACGATACTCCTTAGAGTACAACGCTACTCCTCAGAAACAACCAACTAGTAATAACCCAAAACGCTGGATGGGTGAAAAACAGGAGGAACTATTTGTTGAGTTTCTATGTGTCAGGCTTTGTGTTAAGTGGTTTTCATACGTTGTCTCAGTTAATCCTCAAAACCACTCCAAGAGGTACATATTTAGCACCTGAGTCACAGAACTTCTAAGTTGGGACCCAAACCAAGGTCTGTCTTACCTCAACACCCATTTTCTTTCCTCAACACCATGCTGCTTAACCTACTTACAAAAGTATTTATTCAATAACGACTTATTGAACACATAATGTATGTGCAACCTTGGGCTAGGTACTTTCTTTAACAGTGTTATTGCAATGTAATTCACATACCATGCAATTCATCCATTTAAAGTGTACAATTCGGCTGGGTGTGGTGACTCATGCCTGTAATCCCAGCACTTTGGGAGGCTGAGGCGGGTGAATCACTGGAGGCCAGGAGTTTGAGACAAGCCTGGCCAACAGGGTGAAACCCCATCTCTTCTAAAAATACAAATATTAGCCAGTGTGGTGGCATATGCCTGTAGACTCAGTTACTTGGGAGGCTGAGGTGGGAGAATCACTTGAACCTAGAGGTTGCAGTGAGCCAAGACCATGCCATTGCATTCCAGCCTGAGCAACACAGCAAGACTCTGTTTAAAAAAAAAAAAAAATCTGAAATGCTCCAAAGACCAAAACTTTTTGAGAGCCAACAAGTGAAAAACTTCACATCTGATACCTTTGCTTTCTGATGGTTCAGTGTATGCAAACTTTGTTTAATGCACAAGATTACTAAAAAATATTTTATAAAATTACCTTCAGGCTAGGTGTATATAAAACAAAAACTAATTTTGTGTTTAAACTTGGGTCCCAGCTGGACACAGTGCCTCACACCTGTAATCCTAGTACTTTGGGAGTCTGAGGCAGGTGGATCACGAGGTCAGGAGTTCAAGACCAGCCTGGCCAAGATAGTGAAATCCTGTCTCTACTAAAAACACAAAAAATCATTAGCTGGACATAGTGGTGGGCTCCTGTAATCCCAGCTACTCAGGTGGCTGAGGCAGAGAATTGCTTGAACCTGGGGAGGCAGAGGTTGCAGTGAGCCAAGGTCGTGCCATTGCACTCCAGCATGGGCGACAGTGAGACTCTGTCTCAAAACAAACAAACAAACAAAACTTGGGTCTCTCACCCAAGATATCTCATTATGTACAGGTAAATATTACAATGTTTGAAAAAAATCAAAAATCCAAAATTCTTTTGGCCCCAAGCGTTTCAGGCAAGGGTTACATAACCTGTATGTGCAACCATCACCACAGTCAATTTTAGAAGATTTTCATTATGGGGGAGGTGCCTCTTAAACTACTAGATTATTTGATGGGCTGAATGGGGTAGAGGGAATGGAGGGATGGCAAAATATTTTCAGATTTTTTTCAAGAATGTGTGATCGTCAGGGTTGATTGTGTATTAATTATATATTGGAACAAGCCTAAACATATGATGAAGGAGGAAAATGAATTTTTTCTTGCAGAACATACAATCAAGTTTGCTGGAAACACTGTATCGAAACCGATCCAACCTGGAGACCATTTTTAGGATCATAGACAGTGATCATTCAGGTAAGAGCATTCATTATTCTTTAACTTTTGATGCACTGCAAATATTTTACCTCAAACCCTTTAGTCTGCTTCCTGATTCATCACCATTCATCTCCACTCAGGCATTTGGATAGCAAGGTAAGATTAGTGCTTATAAATGGCAGAAACCAGAAAAGCACTTGAGTAGCATAAGCAGCCCACAGAGAAAGAGGTGGGGCAGAGAAGAATGAAGACAAACTGAATGAGAGCTTCTTATAAGGAAGAATAATTATTAAAAGATGTGATATCCTCTGGGTACGGTGGCTCCTGCCTGTAATCTCAACACTTCGGGAGGCCAAGGTGGGTGAATCACCTTAGGTCAGGAGTTCGAGACCAATCTGGCCAACATGGCAAAACCCAGTCTCTCCTAAAAATACAAAAATTAGCCAGGAATGGTGGCACACGCCTGTAATCCCAGGTACTTGGGAGGCTGAGGCAGAAGAATTGCTTGTACCCGGAAGTGGAGGCTGTAGTGAGCTGAGATCATGCCACTGCACTCCAGCCTTGGTGACAGAGTAAGACTCTGTCTCAAAAAAGGAAAAAAAAAACAAAGATGTGATATCCTTTACAGTTCCATCAAGGATAGCCACAGAGGAATGAAAAGTGCCTAGAACAGAAAGGCATTTGCAATTATTGCAAAATAATAACAAAAATATTTTTTTAATATTAAATATTGAAATAATTGGCCAGGTACGGTGGCTCACGCCTGTAATCCCAGCACTTTGGGAGGCCAAGGCAGGCAGATCACAAGGTCAAGAGATCAAGACCATCTTGGCCAACATGGTGAAACCCTGTCTCTACTAAAAATACAAAAATTAGCCAGGCATGGTGGCACGTGCCTGTGGTCCCAGCTACTAGGGAGGCTGAGGCAGAAGAATCACTTGAACCCAGGAGGCAGAGGTTGCAGTGAGCCAAGATTGCGCCACTGCACTCCAGCCTGGTGACAGAACAATACTCCATCTCAAAAAAAAAAAAATTAAAATAATTATAGATTCACAGGAAGTTATTTTAAAAATGTACAGTGAGGTCCTGTATATTCTCATTCTGTTCCCCCAATGGTCCAAAGGCTTTTTCTCAACATTATTACTGGTTTTTTTTTTTTTTGAGGCATACTTCACAAACCATGTAATTAATCTGTTTAAAGTATGCAATTCAGTGGTTCTTAGTATAGTCACAAGAGTGTATAACCATCACCACTATCTAATTTTATTTTATTTTATTTTTATCACTATCTAATTTTAGAACATTTTAATCACCCCAGAAAGAAATCTCATACCTATTAGCAATTACTCCTCATTCCCTATCCCTCCACCACCAGTCCCTAGCAACCTCTAATCTTTCTGTTTCTACGAATTTGCCTATTCTGGACATTTGATATAAATGGAATCATGCAAAATATGGCCTTTGATGTCTGGATTCTTTCACCTAGCATGTGTTCAAGACTCATCCATGTTGCAGCAGTATCAGTTTTTCATTCCTTTTTTATGACTGAATAATATTCCATTGTGTGGACAAAATTTTATTTACTAGTGACAATAGTCATTAGTTGATAGACATTTGGATTGTTTCTACTTTTGGCTATTATGAACAATGCTGCTATGAACATTCATGTGTGACTTTTGCGTCAATATATGTTTTCAGTTGTCTTAGGTATATACCTAGGAGTATAATTGCTGGGTCATATGCTGATTCTATGTTTAACTTTTTGAGCTGGGCTAGGCGCGGTGGCTCACGCCTGTAATCCCAGCACTTTGGGAGGCCGAGGCGGGTGGATCACGAGGTCAACAGATTGAGACCATCCTGGTCAACATGGTGAAACCCCGTCTCTACTAAAAATACAAAAATTAGCTGGGCATGGTGGTGCGTGCCTGTAATCCCAGCTACTCAGGAGGCTGAGGCACGAGAATTGCCTGAACCCAGGAGGCGGAGGTTGCGGTGAGCCGAGATTGCGCCATTGCACTCCAGCCTGGGTAACAAGAGCGAAACTCCGTCTCAAAAAAAAAAAAAACTTTTTGAGCAATTACCAAATTGTTTCTCACAGTGGCTGTACCTGTTTATATTGCCACCAACAATATATGAGGGTTCCAATTTCTCTACATCCTCACCAACACTTGTTATTTTCCATTTTTGTGGCTTTTTTTGTTTTTATTACACCCATTCTACTGGGTGTAAAGTATCACATTATAGTTTTGACTTGCATTTCCTTAATAACTAACGATGTTGAACATCTTTATGTGCTCATTGGCCATTTGTATATCTCTTTTGGAGAAATATCTATTCAGATCCTTTGTCCAGTTTTAAATTTGGCTATTTGTCTTTTTATTTGAGTTGTAAGAATTATTCATATATTCTGGACACTAGGACATTATCAGACATATGCTTTGCAATTTTTTTTTCTGATTTTGTGGATTGTCTTCTGGCTTTCTTGGTAGTGTCCTTAGATGCCCAAATTTTTTGTTTTCTTTTTTCTTTGAGAGTGAGTCTCACTCTGTCGTCAAGATTGGAGTGCAGTGTTGTGATCTTGGCTCACTGCAACTTCCGCCTCCTGGATTCAAGCTATTCTTCTGCCCCAGCCTCCGAGGAGCTGGGACTGCAGGCACCCACCACCACACCCAGCTAATTTTTGTATTTTTAGTAGAGACAGGGTTTCACCATATTGGCCAGGCTGGTCTCAAACTCCTGACCTCATGATCCACCTGCCTCAGCTGCCCAAAGTGCTGGGATTACAGGTATGAGCCACTGCACCCAGCCTGGTGCCCAAAAGTTTTTAATTTTGAAAAAGTCCAATTTATTTGTTGTTGTTGTTGTTTACGCTTTTGATGTTATAAGCTATAAAACTGTTGTATAATCTAAGTTTTTAAGCTATTTTTTAAGCTGTAAAACTGTTGCATAATCTAAGGTCACAAAGATTTACATTTATGCTTGCTTTGAAGAGTTTTACAGTTTTAGCTCTTACATTTAGGTCTTTGACCCACATCGAGTTAGTTTTTTTATATAGTGTTAGGTAGGTGTCTAACTTTACTCTTTTTACATGTGAATACCTGCTTGTCCACCATCATTGTTGAATAAACTATTCTTTCCCCATTAAATGATCTTGGGACCCTTGTAAAACATCAATTGACTATAGATATATGGGTCCAAAGGATTTTAATGGCCAGAATAAATTAGCATATGTTTGAGATGATTAAATGCAGGGCTTCTCAGCAGTGGTACTGTTGACATTTTGGGCTAGATAATTCTTTGTTTTGGGGTCCATCGTGTGCATTGTAAGATGTTAGCAGCATGTCTGGCCTTTATTTATCAGATGCCGTAGCACCTCACCCCCATCTTAGTCATTACAGACAATACTGGCTCCAGACATTGCCAAATGTCTCCAGGAGGGAGGGGAGCAAAACTGCTCCCAGCTAAAAATCACTGGTGAGCCAGAGGTTTTGTGTGATCCTGCTGGGAGTTTAAACTAGATACTAGGCTTTGGGTGTCTCTCTGTTTAGCAGTAGGGAGCACGTCTCCTTGTAATAATGTCAGAGGAAATGAACATTAAAAACTGGACTAACATACTGAAATGATTTCCTCTCTCTGAAAAGGGTTCATCTCACTGGACGAGTTCAGACAGACCTGGAAGCTGTTCAGCTCTCATATGAATATCGACGTTGCAGATGATTGCATCTGTGACCTTGCGCGGAGCATTGATTTCAACAAAGACGGCCACATCGATATCAATGAGTTCCTGGAGGCCTTCCGCCTTGTGGAGAAATCCTGCCCAGAGGGTGATGCCTCAGAATGCCCACAAGCTACAAATGCTGAAGACAGTGGCTGCAGCAGTCCAGATGCACGCTAAGAACAGCCTGGTCTTCATCACCCACAGTGCCTCGTAGGCAATGCCCAGCTTCTCACTGGAGTATCTCCCTTATTCTCCAAGTGGAAGTTTAAGCTGAAAATTTGCCTACCTATATGCATCAGAATCACCTGTGTGTTTCAGTGTGGAAGGGGGGGTTGGGGTGTTGTGTATGTATGTGTTTTAAGTATATGGGTGCCCCAACCCCATCTCACAATCTTCACAAGGCTGAACTTAAGTATAGTGTTTTTAAATTCTAAAGTCCACTCCACTTAAGAACCACTGATAATTCAACTCCCTCTTTGTTTTTATTTTATACTTTTAATTTATTATCTTGAAAATATCAGATTGGTAAAGGAAAGTTATAAAAAAATTGTATTGTAATCCCATGACTCAAACATATGGATTTTTTTTTTTTAGAGGGAAAAAGAGAAAAAGAAGGGGAAAAAAAGAAAAAGAGAGAAAAAGGAATATTACTTCATTCCTAAAATGGGTTTCAATAATGGCCGATCAATATTTTGAGTGTTTAAAGTGGTTAATGCATATTTTATGTGTTTAAAATGGAGACCTCTATTGTGTTTATTTGTTCTGGCTCTGAGTTCAAGTCCTGGGTATCGTTATCAATTTGTTGTCTCGTTGAATCTAAATCTCATTATGTGTCTTATGTATCTGGGTGTTAAGATCTCTTATTGTTACATTAATCCTTTTACCCTTGCATCCTTGTAGCTTTGAAATCTATTTTATTAAGTGTGAGAATTGCAACTCCTGCTTTTTATTTATTTTTGCTCTCCATTTGGTTGGTGAGTTTTTTTCCATCCCCTTGTTTTGAGTCTTTGTATATCTTTAGATATATCGTTAGATTTTGTGGATAATGTGTATTTTGTGTGTTTAAAATGGAGAGCTCTATTGAGTTTATTTGTTCTGGATCTTAGTTCCAGTCCCGGATATCGTTATCAATTTTCTGTCTCGTTGAATCTAAATCTCATTATGGGTCTTATGTATCTGGGTGTTAAGATCTCTTATTATTACATTAATCCTTTTACCCTTGTATCCTTGTAGCTTTGAAATCTATTTTGTCAAATGTGAAAATTGCAACTCCTGCTTTTTATTTATTTTTGCTCTCCATTTGGTTGGTACGTTTTTTTTTTTTCCAACCCTTTATTTTGAGTCTGTGTATATCTTTGGATATACCGTTAGATTTTGTCTGTATCTTTTGATTGGGAGATTTGGTCGATTTAAATTTAGGGTTGCTGCCATTTGATATTAACTGGCTATTTTGTCCTTTCGTTGATAAAAATTCTTCTTTATGTTAATGCTCTTTACTTTTTGGTGTATTTTTAGAAAGGGTCATACTGGTTGTTCCTTTCTGTGTATAATGCTTCTTTTAGAAGTTCTTGTAAAGTAGGCCTGGTGGTAATAAAATCTCTGAGTACTTGCTTGTTCCTAAAAGATTTTATTTTTCCTTCAAATGTAAAGCTTAAATTGGCAGGATATGAAATTCTGGGCTGAAAGTTCTGTTGATTAAGTATATTGAATATTGGCCCCCACTCTCTTCTAGCTTGTAGGGTTTCCGTTGAGAGATCTGCTGTAAGCCTAATAGGCTTACCTTTATGGGTAACTTGATCTTTCTCTCTGGCTGCCCTAAATATTTTCTCCTTCGTTTCGATCTTGGTGAATCTAACGATTATGTGCCTTGGGGTTGGTCTTCTTGTGGAATATCTTTGTGGTGTTCTCTGTATTGCCTGGGGTTGAATAGTGTCCTGCTTTGCTAAATTAGGAAAATTTTCCTGGATAATGTCCTGGAGAGTATTTTCCAGCTTGAATTCATTCTCTCTGTCACATTCAGGTACACCAATCAAGCGTATATTAGGTCTTTTCACATAGTCCCATATTGCTTGGAGACTTTGCTCATTCCTTTTTATCCTTTTTTCTCTATTCTTGTCTTGTCGTTTTGTTTCATTAAGTTGATCTTCGACCTCTGATACCCTTTCTTCTGCTTGATCCATTTGGCTGTTTAAGCTTGTACATGTTTCACTAAGTTCTCGTGTTGTATTTTTCAACTCCATAAGTTCATTTGTATTCCTCTCTATATTGTCTATTCTTTTCAACATTTCATCTAACCTTTTTTCCAAGTTCTTAGTTTCTTTACATTGGGTTAGAACAAGTTCCTTTAACTCCCAGAAGTTTCTTATCATCCACCTTTTAAAGCCTACTTCAGATAATGGAACACAGTCCTTTTCCATCAGGGCTTGTTCTGTTACTGATGAGTCCTTTTCCATCAGGGCTTGTTCGGTTGCTGATGAGTCCTTTTCCATCAGGGCTTGTTCCGTTGCTGATGGGTTCTGATTTTGAGTATACTCGGCCTCCTTAGGCTGTTTTTTTTTTTTTTTTTTTCTTCATTGTAGATGAACCGCCTTTCTAATTAGGTTTCTGAGTCAACGTCTGACTTATTGATTCCCAGTGCTGGGATCCGAGCAACCCACTGTGGCAGCCTAAATAGCAGCGATAAGACTGATGGTGCTCTTCTGCCCGGGAATCTCTGGTCTGGCTTCCCTCTTGAGTCCGCAACAAGCGGCTCTGACTTCCCGGAGCTCCAAATTCCGATCAGTAGGGGAAGCAGTCCCGTTGGCTCTGCATGAAGAGCTGCTGCGCCGAGACTCCGGCAAAACCGCTGCAGCGGCCACAAGAGTAGTGCTGGCGACCTGTGGGGCTCCTCCACTGGGAATCGGCTAATCGGTGAGTGACGAAAATTCATCTGAAGATGTGGCCTCGTCTCGTTCTCTGAGCTTTCACTGGCAGCTACAATCCTGAGCTGTTAGTGGTCGGCCATCTTGGATCGATCTCATGGATTTTTTTCATTATTTAGTTTTTCTTACTTGTTACTGTAGTGTTGATATAATTTGATGTTCTGGTTTTAAAAAATAAATTCACATCTAATTGTAAACCCTTTCCCAGGTGTTTCCCTTGTGACTCTGTATTCTCCATGATTATTAGTTTAATGCTCACATAATTTTCTTTGAAGTGGATGTGCTATAATCTATGCAGCCATTCTCCAATTGTTATACATGTATATTGTTTCCACTTTTTCATTATCAGAAGTAACACTAGGGAGAGCATTAGGACAAATACCTAATATACGCGGCGCTTAAAAACCTAGATGACAGGTTGATGGGTGCAGCAAACCACCATGGCACATGAATACCTAAGTAACAAACCTGCATGTTCAGCACATGTATCCCAGAACTTAAAGTAAAATTTAAAAAAAGAAAGAAAGAACACTAGTTAATAACATAGTGCATACAGCTTATTCTACACAAATCTTTTGAATCTTCCATTTTAGTGGTATAAAATCCCAGGAATGGGATTACTTTGACAAAGGATGTTGTATTGGTCTAGGTGCTTCAGAGAAACAAAACCAATATAATATTTATGTAAGTACTTACTGTAAAGAATTGGTTTACATGATTATGGAGGCTGAGAAGTCCTAAGATCTGCAGCTGGCAAACTGGAGAACCAGGAGAGCCAATGGTGTAAGTTCCAGTCTAAGTCCAAAGGCCTGAGACTCAGAAGAGCCAGTGGAGTGAGTTCCAGTTCATGTTTGAGTAGGCAGGAAGAAACCAATGTCCCTGCTCGAAGGTAGTGAGACAGCAAAAAAAAAATTATTTCTTGTTCAGCCCTTTAGTATATTCAGGCTTTCAACAGATTAGATGAGGTCCACTCAACCTTGGCGAGCATAATCTCCTTTACTCAGCCTACAGATTCAAATGTAAATCTCATCCAGAAACATCCTTGCAGACACACCCACATGTAATAGTTAACCAAATATCTAAACATCCTGTAGCTCAATCAAGTTGATATGTAAAATTAACCATCACAGGTATGAGCATTTTAATGGCATGATAGGTATGCCAGGTTGCTCTTCAGAACTGGGCATACCAATTTTACCATAAAGTCCTAAGCTTTTAGTGGGATCATTTCTAACTTCTGCTAAAGGTAAATTATAGTGCCTCCATGACATTTTACTATGCATTTATTTGATTAATATCCAAAGCTGTTTCCACTACTTCATTTTATCTATAAACTAAGGAAATTGAAGTTCTGAGAACTTTGATTCTGGGTATTTGTGATCTAAGTTACTAACACAGCCAGGACTGGAACCCATGATTTCTGCCTCCACCCAGGATTCTTTCCAACTATACCTGTGACTATATTAGCTGTATGGACTGTCTGTACACAATATATGGCTCTTTCTTGTGTGACAAACAGACTGTATCCCCACAGTGACCCCCAACTCCAATGATTTTCCACCTTCTGATGTTTGCGCCTTTGTGTGATCTCCTCCCTGTGAGTTTAAGTGGGACCTGTGAATTGCTTCTAACCAAGAAAAAATAACAAAAATGATGGGGTGTTACTCTTGCGATTATATTACATTATATAAAATTCCATGTTAGTAGACTGAAGCAAGAGAGATTGTCCTTGCTGGCTGGACAAGCTAGCAGCTATGTTAAGGAAACTTGCATGATAAGGAATGATGGGTGCTTTTCAGGATCTGCAAACAGCCTCTAACAAATGGCTACAAAAAGCCAGCGTCTTCAAAAGTACATTCACAAGGAAATACATTCTCAAATAAGTTGTGCTGGTTTTGACATGCACAACTTATTTAAGATTTTTATTAGATGGAGTTTCGCTCTGTAGCCTAGGCTGGAGTGCAATGGCATGGTCTCGGCTCACTGCAACCTCCAGGGTTCAAGCAATTCTCCTGCCTCAGCCTCCTGAGTAGCTGGGTTTATGGGTGCTCACCATCATGCCCAGCTACATTTTTTGTACTTTTATTAGGGATGGGGTTTCATCATGTTGGCCAGGCTGGTCTCGAACTCCTGATGATCCACCCTCCACAGCCTCCCAAAGTCCTGGGATTACAGGTGTGAGCTACCATTTTTAGCCATAAATACCATTATTTTAAATTTGAGTGTTTATTCTGTTGGAAACAGTGAATTCCTCTTCAAAGGTTCTGCTTGTCGTCTCCTAACTTTCTTGCCTCTTTGCTTCTAGTTACAGTAACAAGCTTCCAGCCATTCTCAATCTGTAACCCACATGTGTTCCCAATCCGTAACCCACAACCATTACCAATCTGTAAACTACATCCATTCCCAATCTGTAACCCACATCTGTTCCTTATTTGGCACTCTTAGTTCCCAAACTGCTCTTCCCACTGCTGTAGGCCCCACCCCTGCTCCATTTGAATTAGCCAATCGGGATCAGCTTAGATTGTGTAGTCCAATCCCACCCAATGGGGACCAGACACAGTAGCAGGGACTGACTGCATTAAGGATAAAAACTCCTTTCCTCCCTTGTTTGGTGTGCTCTCTCAGTGACCAGAAGAATGAGCAGCACCCTTCTGCAGAAGGAAATTTGCCTTGCTGAAAAATCCTTTATTTGAGTGCTCATATTCTTTGCAACTTCTAAGCTCTTATTTCCAACATTCCTATAGAACTCAAAACTTCCTTTAGTTTATATTTTAATATTAAAACAAAGGGATAAAGTTTTTAATCCCTGTGTTAGTGTCTTGAAATATTTCTCAGTCACAGACCCAGAGACTCTTAAGAGTTATAAGGAATTTCAGACATTAAGTACAACCTAAAGCATTTCCCTGGAGAAAAACTTCAAAAGATACTGGTGTCCTCCAGGTGTCTTCCAGGCTTTGTGGAAATGCTCCAGGGCACAGATCACTGCTCCTAGAGGCAGCCTAATTCCGTATTTGGAGAGATATATGAGTTAGAAAGGTTTTTTTCTTTTAGCAAGCAACATCCTGGTCTAGAATATGGAGTCAGAATATTTGGATTTCAGTTCCCAGCTGTAGGATTTAGGTCATCTGAGCTATAGTGGCTACCCTGAGCTTCTGAAACTCTGCTTCTCAGGAGTAGGGAGAAGCTCATCAACCTACATCAATGTGTTGGGATTTCGGGAGACATGGCAGGATGGGTAGGAGTAGTGCTAATTAATACACAGAAAAAGACACAGAATTGTCATTGCTATAACCCTCATCTTAGTCTTAAACTAAATGATACAAAGCTGAATCTCTTTATTTCTACTGATTGATCATAAACATATATTTTTCTCAAAGATGAAGATAATTTTAGACATGAATTTTTTGTAAATAGATTATATTTGTTATTAGATTTCATTTTAATTTTTAGACTTAAATATATTCACTTGTTTTTTTCTTTTCTCTAAATTAATTTGTATGGTTATATTTATGGCAAATATAACCATATATTTATGCAAATAAATATAACCATAAAATATAAATTTCTCTATTACAGTATTGAGGTAATGTTCTCTCTCTCTTTTATTTATTATTTTTTTTGAGACGGAGTCTCATTCTGCTTTCCAGGCTGGAGTGCAGTGGTGTAATCTCTGCTCACTGCAACCTCTGACTCCCAGGTTCAAGCAATTCTCCTACCTCAGCTTCCTGAGTAGCTGGGATTACAGACGTGTGCCATCACACCCGGCTAACTTTAGTATTTGTAGTAGAGACATGGTTTTGCTATTTCAGCCAGGCTCATCTCGAACTCCAGACCTCAAGTGATCCACCCACCTCAGCCTTCCAAAGTGCTGGGATTGCAGACATGACCCACTGCACCTGGCCTTGTTTTCTTTTAAAATGAAAATATCCAGAATTTGAAAATTTCTCTATCTTGCAGATAAAGTACAAACTCTGACCCAGCCTGTGCCATATGTGCAGTCTCAAAACTCTTTCTAGACTCTTGGATCTTCCTGCAGCCTGCAAACACACCACCCCTCTCACATTCTGTTTCCTGTCTCTCATCTGCTGTCCTTCCTGTGGGCCTAGCCCTTATTCTTCAAGAACCAGCTTCAATGCCCTCCCCTCCATGCAGCCTTCCCTTGACTGCCTCCTCCTCACTGCCTCCTCTCAGATACCTGCTTACCTTATGTTCCTGGAGGTAGAGACTGAATCATTGCAGTGACTGGCGTGCAAGCTGGCAGTCTCCACTGCTCTGTGAGTTCCCTCATAAGACAGGGCAGGTTTCATGTGTCTGCCTGGGCACACAGTAGGCACTCCATAAGCATAATTCAAGTTCACAATGTTAATGAGGATCCAAATATCCTTGTTTCTATGTTGGAATCCACCACCAGTTACAGATTCAGTATAAAAGATCTCTAGGAAGATTAATGGTCAGAAAAAAAATTACATCACACAGAACCCAACCTAGTCACTGCAATAACAACAAAGAATCATTTTTTCTTTTAAACAGAAAGATAAAAGGCCAACCTACACAAAGATTTTTATTTAAGTGATAATATTCTAGGGTTTTAAGCACATGGAGAAATGGGCATATTATCGTTAGAGGTATAAACTGATGCAAAAAATGCTCGTTCTCTTTGACTCAGTAATTCCATTTTCTATACGACTGCAGAAAAACTCTCAAGAATGCAAAGGCCATATGTACAAAGACTTCCTGGAAGCATTGTTTGTAAAAGCAAAACACCCCAAATCTACCCTTAAAGTCCACTAATAAGAGATGGGGTGAGTAATTATCCCCACCTCTACATTCCAGGAAATACTATGCAGCCACTACAAAGCAGGATCCATGATTCACTGTGGTTACTCTTGGGGCTTGAGTTCTGATGTGATTTTCATTTTGTATTGAAATGGTGCACTAGAAAATACTTGAATGAAATCTTGGAAGCCAATCTGATTGTCAAGGCTATTACTTGACAATCAGTATCAAGTATCTTTCGGGGTTTTTCTTATGATGGTGAGTTACTTTTGTAATTAAAAATTGCGATAAAATACATATTTTTAAATCAAACTAGTTTGATGTCCCTTTTTAAAAAAGGGCCACTACACCTCAATATATTATTTTCAAGAACCACTAGATGTCGCTCTGAGCAAATGCTCTGTGTGGCAACAGTAGCTGCTAGAA